AAAACAAAATGGGGCCTCTCCCCCCCCCCCCCCCCTGTTAGAATAATAAGCGGAATACTAACTGGCATGAAGCGCATTGAAAATGATATGAATGATGAAAGTCACCTTTAAATTTCACATATTTATTATCAATCATTTGACTAAAATAAATAATATTTGAATAGTAAACACTTGAAGTGTTGTCCTTACTGGCATGTCGCACAACTTTGTTTTGATAAATGCGCATCTTTTGCCTTTTCCTTTACATGACAATCTCGACAAAGAGCTCTAGAAAAATGTATTTCAAAATAGAAACGCAAACGAACTTGTTTCTAAATACTAACTTTTCATTATATTTCGAAAAACCCGTTTCAATTAATGGTGCCTGACATAGTTGACAACGGAAACAATCCGGATGAAAACACTTTTGAAGTGCTCGAATAATTCGTCCAACAATAGCTTGTTCTAAATTATATTGAACAGAGAAAATAATTGAAGAAAATATCAAAATAAAACTTACTGCATTCTGCACAACAGGGTGCAAATAACATTTGAAAATCTCGTTCACAATATTTCCGATCTTCATGCTGTATGAAAACAAAAACAATTAGTTTGAAGGAAAAAGATCAATATTGAATAATTTACTTCAAAATATAATCCATTTTCAAATGGTTGAAAACATTGTGTACAACTAGAGAAATGAATGAATAGCATTAGACATGAGAGGCAAAGCAGTATTGTCAGACCCTATTGGGAAATCTTGTTGCGACTAGAAGGCCATGCTTTCATCACTCTTTTTGCAAAATTCCCATGGATAGACTTGGTGACCACGAGAATACACCTTAGTCGGTATATTTTCTTTTTGAAAGTTTTCCTAGTGTGTGTGATTGTTTATTAGAGTTATCTACGAACCAACGTCTACCATTTGGTTTCCCCAGTCAATACAGGCTATGCTCTACAACCTAATTATCATGAGTTCTTCAAGATGTGTTCTGATTCAACACATATAAACTCGAGTAATAGTGAATGAGGTTTCCTCGGATCATGCAGCATACTCTTTGGTACAGTATACATAAATCAGTCATTTTCAGCAAATAAAAAATCTCGAATTTTCTATTAGATAAAATTAACAAGACGTACACGAAGCACTTGGTGTGCCAAATATGACCAGCTGCATTCACAATTTGTTCATTGGTAGCAAATGCTTGATGACAATTGGCACAATCATTATCTGACAACATGAGGCTAAAAGTAAAAATAAAAATAATTAACAAAATATCACACACAGATAGTGTTTAATTTTTTTCTCTCTTTCTCTCTCTGGAACTACCAAAACATATTGATCGGCTTAAGAGGATTATCATCAATCTTTCGCCTGCGTTGACTTTTATTCTGAATATTATTTGCTATTTTCCTATCGGAATCTTTCTTGTCAAGTTCAAATGCTTCAAGTAGACTATTTAATAAATCAACAGTAGCCGACATATCAGAAATATCATTCTTGACGCTGGATGTTCGTCGAGGATCATTTTTGTTTATTGTTGATCTTGGCGAGGAATTCATTGAAAAAGATTTATCAGTATCATTTGATATTGAGATTAAATCAGCAAGTGCGTGATTAAGTTGTGCTTCTTTGGTTAGTAATTCATCAAAACTAATTTCATGTCGTTTTCCTAATGCTAGTGCAGCTTCATCAATATTAGTACTTCGTGTTGCCATTTCTATTGGATTATTATTATTGTCAATAGTAGTATAGAATGACACTGGTGGCGGTGGCAAGTCTAGTTTACAATGATCTATGTCCAATGTTTCATAGATTTGTTCGTCGTTTTTTTCTTGTTCTTTATCTCCGGTGTATTGCTCTGGCTGTATTTCTACTCTAACCATTTGATTGCCATTGGTGTTAGTCGAAGGAGAAATTGACGAACAGACGTTATTGTTGATGATGATGCCATTGTCACTGTTATCGACCTTGAATTTCAGTGTTCGTATAAACATGTGGCTACGATTAAATTCTGCTTCGTTAGAAATAACATCATTAACAATCGGTAACAAATTCTGAGCACTTGCATAAGGGCTTAGACTTGCGCGTGCTTCAAACTCTTTAACTAATTTTGAAACCGATCGATTATCTAATTTTTCAATGGCAGATGTTGATGAAGAATTTTTCAAATTCTCCAGTTGTCGTTCTTGAAAATGATTCACCGTTGGTTTCATACAAGTCAGAGCTTTTGTTATGTCTTGTTGACTAACACAAAATCGTTGTTGTTTAAAGCGTTGATATTGTGAACGTTTTCGTTCCATACTACTCTTCTTCTTTCTTTAGTATTCTGATTGAACGTTTATTAAATACGCGTATGCATTCTGATTACGTGATCCGTATTTCTTACATCATTAAAAAAAAGAAATTTAACGGTTAAAACTTCCGAACAGAAAAGAAATCTGAGACGATAAGAGACTAATGCTGATGCGCACTAGTGATCATCAATTGCATATCGATGTATACATATATCAACGAAATGAAATAGAAGTTTATTATTTTATAGGTCTTCTGTGTAGCAAAAAAAAAATTTGATCGTTAAATAAATATTCTTTTATTTCATGACCATGAATAAAATGGCAAGGAGTTCAATTTAAACTTACCTATATTATATTTGATCCCTGAGTAATTAAAAAATTACATCTAGAATTAAAAACACAAGATTTTCACAGGCTTTTATTTTCTTAGTAATAAAATACACAAAAAAGAATAAGTCGAATTGTGAGTATGAATTAACAAAAGAGAAGAACACTAAATGATATGGATACAGGCACCAAAAAGACAACATAATATCACAGTTTATTTTAGATACTACCGGTCTATAAATGAGCAGTTAACGTGGGATTATTAGTGTCCATTAGACTACTTTTTTAGATTGAGTATTCCGTCATTATTGTTAAATATATTTGGAATCGAATCTCCAAAATAAACCTTTGTATTTTGTGATAATGCTTGATACTTTGACCATTGAAGAAATTCGGGTGTTAATTTCATTTTATTTGACTCTGCTTCTGTATCACTCTTATATTTATTTGCATCAGCCATTGAACGTTCTCGAGCTAAATGCATTTCAGCTTCAATTTCAGCAATACGTTTTTCACTTTCTTTGCCTAGAATTTTTTGTTCATATTGAATTTGAGCTACTTGTGCTAATTTTTCAGCTTCAATTACAGCACGACGACGATCAGTTTCAGCTTCTTTTTCGACTACTTTTTGATGAGCAGTTGTTATCATATATCTATATAATATTTTATTAGATGATTTATAAATGAGTCTATTCAGTATACTTACTGAGTTTTTTCTTGTTCCATAGTTTCATAATTACGACGAATAGCTTCAGGAATTTTTGGTTTTGTTACTTGAAATAAACAATACAAATTAAATAAGATATATACTCGATTCAAGCTATAGATCCGGTTTTGACTCTAGCATTATGGATTCTGAGTTTTACACAAAACAAAGTCGTACGCAACGATTATGAAAACTGCTTTGGATATCACAGGAAGTCATGAGAAAAAAAAATACTAAAATAAGAAGTTTTCGTCAACATACTAAATATGAGAAAAAAATTATCGTAACGACCACTCTTTCATCTTAATTATAAATATTTTGGTAATTGTATCAATGAAATTATTTATAAAATAGATTCAGATATTTATTCAGAATAGCGTCATATTCATTTGTTTATTACCTCGAATTGAAGTAACATAAAGACCAGGCGCTAGTATATTTAAATCATTTTGTAATGTTCTTTTTAAATGATCATCAATACTTGAAAATAAATCAATATAAACTTCCTGAAGTGTATGTACCTTTAAAAATAACAATCATTATATTTCTAAATATGACACTTGTCTTTTGCTTATTATTTACCGAACAAAATTGATTAACTTCATGATGAATTTTATCGAATATTAATGTTCGATCGTAATTAACAGTATAGTTTCGCACAATATCAAGAACAGCATCACGACCTAATATATTAACAACTTCGATTTTATCGAAATAAATCATAGTGCCACCGCTTGTACCACAAGGAATGTTTTTCACTAGAAAACAAATGACTGTTCGAAAAATAATGAATAGCGTGAATTATTACCCTGGTCTGTTTCTAACGTTGTTTGAACAATTTTACACGAGGTCAAAAATGGTATCATAACGTGAAAGCCAGGTGAAGTCATTGATGTGAGGAGGGCACCTCCTCTTTAAAAACAACAGATAAATAAATCAATGATATTATTAATTAGAAACAATGATTTTTCACTTACCTGTAATATATACCAACATGCCCTTCAGGCACTTGATGAATACTCAGAGCAAAAATAGCAGCAACGATTACCAGAGCAGTTAACCATTTAGCAATCATCACTATAATAGTTGAACAATAGAAGTGATTTGCTATCTAATAGAGTAAATAAAAGAACATTGTGGATGAAAGGAAAAGCAACCCCGACAAATCAAATAAGGAACAAAATGTTGATGATGATGAGTCATCATGGTTTTATTATATGAACAATCATTCGAAATTATATATACAAAATTAAAGGATTAATTTTTCATGGATTTCAGTAGCATTATCTGTTTATTTATTTTCTTAACATTATTTTTCCTGGAGAGTAAAGAACGAACAACTGGCGTCACCTGTAGAAAATATTCCTTTGAGTCAACCCAAATATTCTTAAAAGTTAGAAAAGTCGTTTAAAGAATCAGAGTAAAAACATATTAGAAAAACATTGGAAAGAACTAGAAAGTTAAGTACACTGTACAAGTAAGGGTGTGGGTGAGGTTATTATAGAGAACCAAATAAGAAACACCCACACCACTGGAAAAATTTGTTGGTGAACAGGAAATATGAATAACGGAATTTTTTGAAAAAAGTCATAAATAAGGTGTATAAACACCTTATTGTGTCTCGCTGATGATGATATATCTCAGCACATATTTCATCACTTTTATTTTCAAATACTCTCTATATTTTGATGATGGAAATAATCATCATTCGAATTTTTCTTACCAATAAACAAACTTTTAAATGTGTCTTTGTCATTATTGTACGTACAAAACTAAGTTTACACAAAATGGGATAATCAACAGCACGAAGAGTACTTTCCATAGACCAATGATTCAAGACTTAGCCATTTGATTCTATAATAAATTTCATGTAAGATCATTGTATCGGTTCGTGTATAAGCAATATCATCGGATAACCATCTCAGCCATGTTAAATAACTAGTAGAGCTGATGAATGTGTCATATTGGTACTCAATTATTCTTCTCGTACATGCTAATAACTATACATGTATACGCGCCTAATAGACTAGGACGAAGAACACCGGCGAATACAATAAAATTATCGTATGTTCTATGCTATGAATGAACACCTAATCAGAGAATCACTGTCTATGTTTGTTTTATAGCGAACCGAAAATTCTCATAGGTCAAAAGCGAACTTCACATTGAATATACGAATATTTAACTACCTGATAAGTACACGCATCTAGCTGCTACTTAGATCGTTAAAAATAACACCAGTGCACCGTCGACGTATTCAATGGCGCCAGGAAGTCCGTTAAATTTTGAACATCGTCAGTACGTATATTTGAATTCGCCTAAAGCTATATAATTGTATTTACTTCTTTTTCTTCTTCAGATTAGTCAGGATGCGGTAGATAGACGAAAGTGCTAGACACAAAAGAGACCAATGACACATTAGGTTAGTCTAAACTTAACCCCAGGATATTTTTAGTCCGAATAATTACTCATGACAACTATGCAGAAGTGTCGGGCTAGGCATAGATTCGCTGGGGGATGCAGTGGGCTACTTATGCTGCGTATCTTCATCAATGTTTCGCTTACTGGAGAAGTCGATACGAAACTCGAAATGGTAAATAGCATCGATAAAATTAATTATTTTCTTTCTTATAAAGATCAAGAAAATGATAGCAATCGTAGAAACGATAACTGACTTCAATAGTTAATTATACATTCTGATTCAGCCTTATTGCAATTCCAGGTACAAGAGATAGTTTTCTTTCAAAAAGAAAATTCTATTTAAATAATTGTCAACAGTAAAAAAACTCTATTTTCCCTGAACAATGACCAGGGATTCATAGCATATAAATGCCATTATTAAAATCATATTCCAAATTGAACGTAGCAGTTTCATTTTATGGATTCGACAATGTCTGAATTTCTGATGCTGACAGTTCACGGCTATACAAATAAAACTCATCCATTGTACCAGTAAAAGAGCTTCCATACCCTGGGGCACAGTATGTGAAACCTTTATCGCTGCCTAGTATAATATACATCGGAACACCGGAGGCTGAAAAAGTAATGCTACCAGTTGTCGAATATAAAGTACCATTTATATACAATTGAATGCCATTAATGGCACTGTACGTATATCCAATATGCGTCCAACTGTTCAATGGAAGAATGGGACCACTTAATATTACGTTGCCACCGTTCCAGAGACACGCCTTTAAAGAGCCAGTCGAATTTATCACTAAAAAGTGAACGCACCAACCTGATAACTTGTGTACAAAAACTAATGTAGATTCTGTATAGTTTTTCATTGGCTGTACCCATAAAGATATACTAAAAGGGTGATTATTGATGCCCAAAAAGTAAAAGGGACTATATGTGTGATAAAGATATGGACCAGAACTAAATCGAGCAGCTTCATTCACTACTCCAGCTGTGAATGTCACATTGCCAAACGAAGTTCCATTAATACCATTAGGACCATTATCGATCAGAGAACTACTGTCGAAAGAATAATAAACGTATAGTGTAGCGTCATTCAAAATTTCAGAAGCAGTTTTTGCTATTGACTCATATCGCACTTGATCTATGCGACCATTGAAACATACCGTACTGCTCGAATTGTAAATAGCACCAATGGTTGTTGTACCCGATGCATCCTGATAGGCAGTCGCCGAACTCGAACCATCCAGTACCCCATTGAGCCACACAGATTGTGTCTGCGTGATCATGTCATAGACACAAGCAACATGATACCACGTGTTGATTGTCATTAAAGTTGCGCCTTGGGTGCCATTGGTGTAGATTGCGCAATATAGTCTGTTAGTTCGAGTCATGAAATCAAAGCATAAGTTGGCGCTAGTTGATGGACACTGACTGAAAATACCGTAGTCGTTAGCTGTTGAGCTAGTTAGATAGATCCATGCTTCGATTGTGAAACTGCGCGAATTCAAAGGTAGGTGGTTCGATGTGATGGAAACATATTGGGATGCGGATTGAACGAGATTAAGGGCGGTCCCATATCCGAGAAAGCTGGTCGTATAGGTTCCACTTCCTATGAGAGTACCATCGTAGTCACCATATAGATCGAGAGTATTGTTGTCGAATGGCCAGAAAGCGATGACTAAGAGTACAGTCGTTGCTAAAAGTATAGAACAAATAACCGACAGTATAGGTATTAGAGTAAAACTGAATCCTATTTAAGAGAGCCTCTTTTTTATTTTTATCGTGAAAATCGTTGCAAAACATGATTCAACACGTTGAGGAATTTCCTTGTTAGCGAATTCAATTAGAGTTATGTTAGAGCGTTTCATACAATCGGAGTGAATTAACAATATTAATTAAGTTGCTTCGGTCAAAAATAAAATGAACTGTTGAGTGGTTCACATTTATATTAGAATAATAGAATCACTTGATGATATTAATATAGCTATTAAATGTGAATCCCTTAACACTTAATATTTAATGTTAAGTCATTATTTTAAAGTTAGTTTTTAATCAAATGTAAATGGTGCATTACTAACTAGTGTTTGTGTTTGTGGTTGTGTCTGTCTTTGTCGTAGGTAACAGAATCACCATTATAATTGTACCAACCGCAACTAGAAGTACACCAACAAGCAGCCCGGATGTAAGACAGCAACATGGCGAGCAAGGGATGCATACTCGCCTCTTTGACTGTTTCTTCGTTTCGGTACTCAAGATAGTATTGTTTTGTCGTCGCTCACCACTACCGACATCTGACGAGTCAGTCGTACAAAAAGGTGACTTCCTCGCTAAAGATAAGAGGAATCAAAAGTTATGCATTTATTCGGAAGAGGTTCAAAAATTGAATGAATTACCGTCGTCGAGTCGCATGATCTTCTGAAAGAAAAAATTCTCAGAATTATATTACTTAACTATTCAATGAAAGATTATAGGAGATCATCTGTCAAGGGGAAAAAACAGTTAGTAGCCCTTTTGGTGGAATTAAATATGTATGCTGCTAATACCTGGTTAGACGGAGAACGTTGAGAATGACTGTTGACGTTTTTGTTATTCTTAGAGTTATGAGACTGTGGCCTGACTCTGTATATGATATATTCTTTCATCTTTGAACTTGGTGTTAATTTTTTACTGCTTGTTTTTGAACCCTTGCTGATCATGTTAATTGAAGAAATTTGAGACACACTCATTGTGTTCGATGGTTCTGATTTGATCGAAGTGAAATGAACACTGTTGTTTAAGACTCTTACCTAGACAAGAATCCAATGTAATCAAAAAATCAAAAAAAAAAGAAATATCAACATTTTTATGATCAAAGTGTTGAACGTGTTGTTCTTGTCTCTTCGCCCGTTTAACTTTCATTGTTCCCAATCGTTGCAAATCTGTAGAATGTGAATTCACTGCTTTTAAAAACAATGTTTCTTCTTGGTGAAACTTGAATGAATGCTGGCTGCCAAGAAAAGCTTCTACAATCCAATAACTGGAGTTACTATTCAAAAATGTAAAATCAAAATAATAATTTCATTCGCATGCAGCTGCTTGAAAAAAAACAATGCTACGTTGGTGGAAGCTCATTTATATTCATTTCATAGTTCTAGAGATAATGTGAATTATTTCGTTGCTGTCTTGTATGGTTTCATCTCTCACATTTTTAAATAAAGCACACGATGCAAAATGCATTCTTATGGATTTGATTTCTAATTAAACATTGGCTATAAATCTAGCTTGTTGAAATGCAGCTACCTGGCAGTTAGAAAATAGAAATTGTAAACAGAAAATTTCGTTTGAAACTCGCATGAAGTTTTCACGTGTGCCCTTTCTATCGTTTAAGACGCGTACATATATATATATATATCAAATCTATATAGTATGTATAATAATTGCTTAATATAGATCAGTCCTCATGTCGAACTATTTCTCTGATGATGTATAATAAACTATTACACATTTTTTTCTGTTACATGTCCTATTGTTTTCTGATTTCGGTAGAGTCCAACAAATGCAATGAAGCAAAGTACATCGCGCAATAGCAGTAATCATTTTTTAAAATATAGAATACAGTACAGCATTCAATTATTCATTCAAAACGTTCCAATTTTCATTTGAATTGTTAAAACATATCCTTTATTTTCGTCTTAGGACTCAAAAAAATTCTCAAAATCGAACAATTTCATCGTCTCTGTTCTAAGTCATTCAATGTCGATAATGTATGCCATTATTGAAATCATCCTTCTCTACGGTAGTAGGGAATCCTCAAGATAGATGGATATCAATAAGAATTTTCAAGAAGTATAGTGTGTTTTCATGTTAGTGTCATGGATGCGATTTCTTTGTTGACACTCTCTGTAAACTGGATATAATGTCTTTTCTCCGGATAGGTGGATACTGCTGCAGAGTATTGCTTATTTAGATTTGCGTTGGATATCATTCTGTGCATATCGCTTAGATTGGATAAATTTATAACAAAAATATCACGTCCTCACGCATGCCATCGTGCATAAAAACATTGATACGAATATTAATGTGCAGATTCATATCTAAACCGCCCTCCCTGTATTAGAAGCCCCCGGGCGCTTCGAAATCATCCACTGTTCAAAGTTTTTTAGCAGGGGCTTCTATTAATGTGAGGCTACTCATATGACTTTCTGACAGTAATTTCGAAAAGCATAAATTAAGAGAATCATTGTTTCAGTATGATCTTAACTATGTATTAGTATAAAGTTCAAATAATCTTACAACACTGAAATTTTATATAGAGATACATAAAACAATATACTAATGTATGCAATAAATTATCAAAAAAAACAAAGGAAAAAGAAAAAGAAGTAGAAATAATTTTAATATTGAATTGTAACTTACCATTTCGAGCAGATTGATAAACAATCTAAAACAAAAGACAGTGAATAAATAATTTTTTTGTTATTGAATTCAATCTTACCACTTGGATCATGTTGAATTGTAGTTGAAAGCGAAAACAGTTGAAGAGCGTATATATGACTTGAGACTGTTTCAATAGTATGAAAATGGTTTCATATTTGAAAAACAAAATGATCCATGATTTAGTCTGTTATACTTGTACTGTGAGCAGTTTTAGTTCACTAGATACATCTGAAACTGAGCAATGACGAAGAGTGAAAAATTCTTTTAAGAGGTCTAAGGACTGCCATCCCTTTCATTCTACAGAATATTCGAAAATTATTCAAACTCTAGTAGTCTTTCGTTGCATCACATAGAAACTCGAGGTCGAATTTCGAGTTGTTAGTGCACATTGTAGCGATGGAGTAAACTCGGAAATTCTTCGACTTGCCTGGAGAAATAATTTTCAAACTGAAAGGATAATCTGATATAAATCATCAGATTTTGAGTCAAGTTTCAATAGTATACGTTTCCATTATCAGAGAAAAGGGATTCGAAAAATACTCTTAGCGATGTAATTCAGGTTGCATTTTTATTAGTTCTTTCATTTGCGCGACTCTTATTGAAGAGCGCCTGATACACAGAAGCTCAGTTAAATCAAACATCTACCTTATTCAGCAGATCATTGTGTCATACTTGGTGTAACAGATGAAGAAAGTTTTTGAACGAAACACCAAGACGTGGAAGAGCACCATTCGCAACAATAATGATTCCACTAAGGTAAGGTAGGCTTTTACGTGTTTCTTCAATTAATGTTAGATTGTATTCATCTACTTCTGTGCCATTTGTGTCATTGAATCCTGGTGTATCAATCATCTCAAGATGTATACCTTTTGCTTGAAATATGTATTTAGTACATTTTTGCGTCTGACTCTGAGTCTGATCATTAATATCTCGTTCGTTATTATCATACTGATATTTTTGATCGAGACAATCCACCCAATTCGCACACGGTGTGGCTAATTTCACTTTCGGACGGTCACAAAATATTTCATCGACTTCTTGCGTGCCATAGAATAAATTTTACAGAAAGTTAATTATGGATGATTTTCCAGCTCCAGCGTCGCCCAGTAAAATGAACCGTTTCGGGCTCGATGTCAAAGTCATTTTAATTCTCCTTTGAATGTAAAATATCAGCGTAGGAATGCTCTCTTGTATTTAAACACAACTGATGCTTTATATATATTCATAGTCTCCATATTTATTTTGCTTTCACCCAGTTTGATAAGGGTTAGTCAAACAAAAAATAACACAAGTTTTCCCCTTCAGTTTATTTCAATCAGAACATTAGTCAGGAGAAAATATTTCTTTTTGCTTCGTGGTTTCTTATTCTGAAAACGGAACCTTTCAGTACACGAACACCGCGATAAAATAAGAATTATCAGGCGTTTTCTACGTTTGCATTGAATCATCAGGAATGAAATCCTCAGTGACAATTGTGAAAGAGGGGTGGAGAAAGCCGAAACGTTTTTTTCAAATGACTAAAACAAATAAATACAGCTCTTTCCCAAAACGTTTTGATGAGTAAATTAGGGTATAAAAGTTGTTGTTCGTCTTGCGTATTGTTTATTCTCTATTCAGCGAAGCAAAAGAAACTGCGAAAAAATATACAATCCAAATATTGTTATGGTATTCATCGGTGAATCAGGCTCCGGTAAATCAACTTGTATCAACTATTTTGCAAATTATTTTACTCATTCATCATTTGATGAGGCGAATCACTATTCAAATATGAAAATTGTTATACCAAATAGCATATGTCCACAGATAAATTACGGTTCTACTAGCAACCAACATACCGAGCGTAATGTTCACGATAACACTGTAAGTCAAACGCAGGACTGCACGGAGTATGGGTTCACGTGGAATGGCAAGCATGTGAAAATTGTTGATACACCCGGTTTTAATGATACATATTCAACGAAAGACGATGGAAATATTCAGAAAATATTGAAAAAAGTATCTAAATTTCAACTTGCTACTGCTATTTCGATCACAATCAATGGTACTAACACGCGTTTATCAACGTCGATCAAAACAACATTGACTCAATTGCGTGGCTCCTTGCCTGATAGTGTTTTTCAAAATTTATTTTTTATTTTCACAAATTGCACAGAAGAAACGCAAAATTTCGATCTAAGACTGATTGCTGAATTCAATCCATCACAACAGAGAACATTTAATATGCAAAATTCATTGTTCTCGATCAAAGATAAGTCTATTCTTCAAAATAGTAAATTAGTAAAAAAGATGCTGCAAACATGGAAAGACTCAGTTGACACAATGGCAGATATAATGAATGAAATAAGTCAAACATCAGCTGCATCTGCGCAAGTATTTGAAGATATGCGTATTAAACGTGAACGATTAATTGGACACAAAGAAAATTTAATTAAAAAACAAAAGTCATTATTGAATGCGATCAAAACGTTGGACATTGAAAAAGATCGCCTAAAAAATGCCACGAAGGATCAGCAAGCAAATAGAAACTTTGTCAAACAAACTGCGATTCCTTATATTGAATTAGAAAAAAAATCGTATTACAGTACAATTTGTACACACCATGATACAGTGCGAGTTTGTCGCGAAAATTGTGGATTGTCGTATGAACCAAGCTTGAACTTAGCACACTTTGGACATTGTCGATGTGGTATGAACCAGCATCTCCATTCTTATGAGATTCCTGTATCGAGAAACAAAACAATCCCTGAAATTATTGAAGATAAAAAAGCAGCCTTGGATCTAGCAACCGAAGCTGTCAATAGTATCAGTACTCAAGTGGATCGATTGAGCTCGGCACGAGATCAATACCAAAAGGACGTCAATGATGTTAGAGATGGTTTACTGGCAAGAATTCGTGAATCAAAACAGATTTGTACACACTTTAATTTGGCCGAAGAAATGGCAAGTACAATTGGCAAACTCCGACAAGAAGCCAAAATTGCAAGTGATCGTAATGCGAAACGAGAATTCAATAATACAGCGGGCGCGATCGAAGCCCTTCTTCAACAACTCAGATAAGTAAAGTATCAAGCCAATCACGAACTTTTTGTTTTAAAAAATTCTAGGATGTTTCCTTTTTTCTCTCTACAATCACGAATAAAACTCGTATTGGGTATCTGTGAAAGTTTTGTGAAATAAGATGTAAAAGCAGTGTTGAAGTGTATAGAGTAGAAATTTTCACCCACCCCTCCCCCGCCACAGAGCGCGACAGACGCGCACGTAACTAGGTGTGGATGTGAGTAAGTGAGAGTCGTTCATCTAGCACTTGCGGATATCAAAACGCTCATCGACTGCCCATGTCTTTGAGAAATGAGAGGATCTTTATTTGCAAGAACTTACATTAAATGTAGTTGTAGAAAAAACAATTATAGCTCCTTGGAAAACTATAAAATAAAAGATTTTTTAAAAGTTCAGCATTATATCAATTTTCCTAAAATATAGAGAAAAATAATTTAAGTGGAAAAATCTCTAATCAAGTCTGCCAATCAAGTTGAAACTTGATGGCAATACGCATTTTAATACAGTTATTTAATGGAAATTTTTCGATTCGAACAGATTTTACACCGGTTCAGCGTACATTAGTTGTCTTAATGACACTACCCTCTTGTTGATTATTGTGCACAATAGTCAGCGAATAATCGTTGCGAGTGAAACCGAGATCCCGACATAGATATATGTATTTTGGAGGTTGTCCAAAAGAGAAATGGATCATCATCGAGCTATGTAATCGATACTTTCCGCATGCTATCTCTCGCAAGAAAACGCTGATACTGTGGGTGTACCATTTTTTATCATAAAAATGTAGTTTTGCATAATAATAAACAGCATTTGAGAATATGATTCATAATGCATCGCATCAAGGTAGTGTCAATCTAAATTGAAAATTTTCTCCAGAAATGAGTTGACATTGTAATTATCTTACTCGACTATATGTATATATTAATAAACCTCTTGCCAAATGTCTTTTTAATTCGTTTTATTACTTAAAGCTGTTGCTATAAGGCAACACAACATAAGTGATCTAAGTCCATCACATTTTTATTTATGGTTTTCTCTATTTATACAGTCAGTGTGATCTCCATCGTGCGTGTTTGTTCCTATATCATGTCTTGTTAAAATTAGTAAAAGGCCAACTGAGAATTTCGATTCAAGCAATTGATTTGAATTATAAAGTATTTGACAGAAATAATTTGAAAAATTTCAACCATGTGAGACGATTTCGGATAGAAGTAACGTTAGTGCTGATGACATTGCATTTTATTCGAGATCTGCAAATTAAAACTCGTATCAACTACACAAATAGTAGATGTTTAAATACTCAACTTTCAGAGAGAACGAAGTAGAATGAAAAATAGAGAAGAATATAAAGAACAGATAGATAAGAACAATCAGTGGTTTGAGAAGGGCACGGCAAAGTGAAGCGATGCACTATAGCGGGATCGTTACGCCATGGTCACTTGCTTTCAGTCGATGTCAAATTCAGAAGAATATTAGGTATAGGTCCACCTTTGCAGCCTTTTTAAGGACATGATAATCCGTCGTCTTTCTGTTTCCACACCCGTTCTTGGATCAGCTACTGTTACTTATTTTCCGCCCATCTTCTTTAAATAAATGTGACGCGCTGCTTGATTTGATACTTGCATAAGTGCATATTGAAATCCTTCAGAATCTCGCGCATGATTACACATGGCCGCACGCAATTTACTTGTCACCTTTTTACCTGAATGTTGAACTCACGTTGCACCCATCATAATATGCAAGATTGTGTTTGGCTCGAGCTCTCGGCGAAAATCATGATTAATAAATAAATTATTCATAGCATCGAGTAAATCAATGAAAGGGATGGTTGTCGGAGGACCACAGGCGTCGTATGGATGTTTCTGATTTACCAAATAAAAATCGCTGGCACAGATAGTAGCAATGACACATGATGGCTCGTGTGCGGCAAACTCTTCAGCTATGAGTTTAGCACACGTGTGTGCATCGGCCTCATTGTTGATAACTTCCTACACATACTTGTGATCGCCACTCATACTGTTGTTAGTGAATGAGTTGGGTAGAAAAGAACGAATGCTTGCTTCCATGTGTTTCTTTATCTCTTGATTTTTTTTCTTTTCATTGTTCTCATTTTTTTGCATTCCAAAACTTGAGAGATGTCCACGAACGAATGATTAGAAGTTCCATCACATTTCCTCTACAGTGTATGAATGCAAAATTTAAAAAAGATACAATATCTATGATATTTTTCGGTCTTAGATTTGTTTTCATTAGAAACTTTGAATACCGAAGGTCAGTTTCCATTTCACGACGGAATTATCATGACAGTGCCGACAGTTCACTGACAGACTAGAAATTCCTATATCTGACTTCTTGGACATTGCTGTTATAGTGTACGTATATTTTTCTCATTGATTTCAATGCTAGTATTTGGCCATGATAATTTGTGCAAGTCAGAATAAAAATTCATATAGTTGTGTAGAAGAACTACTTTTTCTATTTATTTTCTAATATTAAATCGTAAGACATTGAACTCATGAAAATAACTACTGCTCAAAGATATGTTTCTGTTACACAAAACTATAGATTGCAAACATCAGAATAATAGTGAGCATTAATGATTTCATTTTTTTCTGACAATAAATAAAATACATGCTATAAAAAGAAAATATCTTTGACTACAGTATGAATTTATCTAATATATCAAGCTGACTGACCAACAAAAAAGAAAATCTATCATGGAGTAGATATGTATGTATGTCTGTTCAAAGATAGAGTGAGGCAAAGAGAATTTAATACATTAGAATTTTTGAAGAAAATCGTGTAGCCTTAATATTGAGACAAGAGCTGCTAAGGTGTGCTTTCACTTCTTTATTAGCAGGTTCGATAACATACACTTTAACAATAATAATACAAGCACTGAATCAATAACACGGACAGATATACTCGTATTCAATTATCTTCAATGAGATAAATAATACATAATAATGTGTGGAGGACAATAGGAGTAAGAAAGATAATGCTATCGAGGTGGATGATGCTAATGATCTGTGTATGCATACACAGATCATAACAAGAGCTTCGTTTCGCTAAGAAAAACTATTTCCTTTTCTCTATTTAAGAGTCTTTTGTGAATATTGGGCAACATTTGGTGAAGAAAGTCATTAAGAGTTATTCAATGTCTCACTTTGCTCCGAAATTTAAACTGACATAGGGAATATAAATATTTTTCGTCACAGAAAATTCTTCTGTAGTAAATATATTTGCCCTCACTTTTTTCGTATTTGTTTCAAAGTTAGATCGAAAATTCATTGTTAGATATACGCTAATATAATTATAGTGATACAATAAAAGCAAATAGGAAGAGAGAGAGAGATCAATTTAATGACTATAGTTCTATAAAGATGGAAAGAGGCTAGGTTATACGAATTTGAGCTTGATCTATGCGAGTTCGATTAATACTTTTCCATCTTCAACTGTTTCACCTTCTTTGATGCCAACAAATTTAACCTTAAAGAAAAACAAAATCCATAGAAACAGAAAATTCTTTCGTCTATATCTACTCACCACTCCAACTCGTCCAGCAGTCAGTTTATTTTGCATCTTCATGGCTTCAACAACGCAAACTTCTTGTCCTTCAGCGACACTTTGTCCAACTGTAACGCTAACAGATTTAACAATACCAGGCATAGGTGAAATAAGAACTGATGCGAAATCAATTTGTTTCTTTTCAGGCATGAGTGGTACATATTTTGCAGCACGTTCAGGTAATACACGAAGTGCATACTAAATTTTGAGAAAAACAAAACTATCAAATCGATTATTGAAAAATGTTCAATTCCTACTTTGGTTCCAAGATAGATCAATGTGACATGTCCTAATGCATCTGTTTTGAATAACTAAAGAAAACATAATCAATAAAATAGTTTTCTTTTCCTTTTTATATATTTAATTATTTCACAAACTTGCATAATACGTGGTTCGCCACTAAAGTTGACATTCATGACTTGATCGCCTAATTTAAAATTATCCTTGATAGCTAATTTTTTTACACCATCCATTTCGATCTATAGCAAAATGACAATAAAATATTTGTTTGTTTTTTCATTTAAAACAAACTTCGAATTGCTTGACTCCATCTTTTTCGGTGGGTGTTACACGTATGTGACGTTTAAAGTCATCAATTTTAACTTCAAATACATATTCATTTGGTGTTGTAACTTGACCCGTTTTCTTGAATGATCGAGCACGAATAGTTCTTTTAACACCAACACATGCTGCCAATGCAAGTAGCTGTTCACGTTCTGAATCTACTAATTGTTTGCCTTTGAATCCATCTGGATAAACTTGTGGTAAATATTTTGTTGTAATATTTCCAGCAACAAAACGTTCTTCAGTTATAATATCTCGTAACAATGGAATGTTATTTGTGACACCTTAATAGATCGATTAAAAACATTACTAGAAAAATGAAATTAATCTTTTCTTTTTCTTCGCTATACCTCGAATAACATAGGAATCTAATGCTTGAGCCATTGTTGCTAATGCTGCATTTCGATCTTTTCCGAAGGTGGTTAACTATTTAGAAGAAAAACAAAATGATATAAAATTCAGAGATCATTTGAAAACATACTTTACAAATCAATGGATCATAGTATAAGCTAATTTCACTACCTTCAGTTATACCACTATCGCAGCGAACCTATTAATACAATAACAAAAAAAAGAAGAATTAAAAACTAATTATTATGAGAAAAGAACAATTTTTAACAAACATTTGGAATATGACTAGGATCTTTATATGAGGTAAGACGACCAATGGATGGGAGACCAAAAGCTTTGTATGGATCTTCTGCATAAACACGACTTTCAATAGCCCAACCCCGTATGCCAATATCTGGTTGTTTGAATCGTAACGTATGACCTATAAATTTAATTGTTAAAATATAACAGTAAATATCGTTGGTTTTTTTTAAATCAAACCTTTAGCAACTCGTATCATCTGATGAACAATATCGATACCGGTAGTAGCTTCTGTAATTGGATGTTCAACCTGAAAAAACATAAATATATTTTACCATTCTCATTATCTAATAGGATCTCTGTTTTTTACTTGAAGTCGAGTGTTCATTTCAAGAAAATAAAAATTACGCTTTGAATCAACCATAAACTCGACAGTTCCTAAAAGAGATTTCTTTTTATTGAAAACAAAAACAAAACATTTTCGCTTTATGATTAATTACCTGCTGAATAATATCCAACAGCATGAGCTAATTGTACAGCTTCTTCGCCCATCTTCTTTCGTGTTGCGGGATCAAGAAAAACACTGGGTGCTTCTTCAATTACTTTTTGATTTCGTCTTTGAATTGAGCATTCACGTTCATTTAAATAGACAATATTACCATGTTTGTCCCCAAGAACCTTTATAAAATCGAAAATTTTATTATTATTTGAACAACTGAATTTTTCAGTAACAAACTTGAAATTCAATATGGCGCGGATTATCAATAAATTTTTCTACTAACATACGATCATCACCGAAACTTGATGCTGCTTCACTTTTAGATAATCGAAAGTTTTCTCGTGCTTCTTTATCATTCCAAGCAACACGCATTCCTTTACCACCACCTCCAGCTGATGCTTTAATCATGACAGGATAACCTGAAATAGTCAAATTAAAAAAAAGTGAATTTTTCCTATAAACAAAACATAGTTGCATACCAATATCGTTGCTGACACGAACACATTCTTCTGCATCTTTTACTTCGCCATCATAGCCAGGTATCATTGAGATTTTAGCCTTTCGAGCAATTACTTTACTGTGAATTTTATCACCCATAGCTTGAATGGAGTGACTTGACGGACCGATAAATTCAACATTATGATCAGCCTAATAGTAAAAATAAAACATTTTGTTTTCAAGCGATTTGACAAGAAAAATAAGCAAACAAATATCTTACAAGTTTCTTGGCAAATTTTGTATTTTCTGAAAGAAAACCATAGCCGGGATGAACGGCTTCAGCGCCGGTTTTTTTAACGGTTTCTAATATAATATCTTCATTTAAATAACTTAATCTAGTTGGTGCAGGTCCAATACAAACGGCTTCATCGGCCATTTTGACGAATAACTATTAGAAAATAATATTAGAAAATAGAAAAATTCTATCTTCGAAGACTTACTGAAGTTGAATCGACATCACTATGTACGGCTACTGTTTTAATACCCATAGCATTGCATGTTCGAATGACACGACATGCAATTTCGCCTCGATTAGCGATCAAGATTTTTGAATATTTCTACAAAATAAAAAAATTTATGATTGAAACTTGATATCGAAAAAAGCTTACCGGTTCATCTGGATCAATGTGATCGAGAAAATAATGTCCGTCTTTTCCATAAGTAAAAAGAGTTTTCGCATTTTGTGCAACAGCTTTTGTAGATTGAAACCGTTTTAATAAAAGAACCCGGCCAACAGGTGATGATGAGCGAAGACCACTAGTCAAGAAGAAATGCATATCTAAAATAAGATTATTATTCTTTTGTGTTGCGATTTGTAGAATTCATTGACAAAATAAATCTGACTTATAATCGTAAAGAAAAAAACAAACGTGAAATAAAATTTAATTATGCAAATGTTATAGATGCACAGACATTAACAAAAAGAAAAGAAATATAACATAGCATTGCGTATATCTTGCCAATAATTAACAACAGATGAAAGAAAAAGACAATACAATTATTTGCCATTATTTTTGATAAAAATTCTAAAATAAAGAAAAAAATATGCCAAATAAAATTATTTGTTTTTATCAAAATATTTACTGTCGCAATTCATCGAACGAGTCGATATAGACTTTTTGAGCTATATTATTTACAACAGAATCCACTGTTTCTCGCCGTGTATAATTATTAGTTATTGTACGAAATGCCGATGATGAACGGTGTCTTATTTGATGAAATAAAGTCGATTGAGGTTCACTGTTTTCATTATTTGCTAAGCGTATGGTCGGTGTAGAACGCTTTTTAGTTTTTCTCGACTGTTTTTCATCATCAGTTAAAAGAGTTTTCGAATACATTTCATTCGAACTTATCGTAGATAGAGCGTCGCTTATGACTTCTTCTGTAAAACGGCTTGATAAATTTTCAATAAGATTTTCATTCGAAGACGATACATTTTCAATTGATTGCTTAATAGCTGAATGAATAAGTTGGTCAGCATAGGAATTTATTGCTTTTAAACGTTCAATAGGAGCATAGGATGGAGAACAATCGAATAGAAGACAAGAAGTATCAAATTCATAGAAAGATCTACAATTATTTGTTATATGTTGATAATCAATCTGAAACGAAGATTGTTCAGAAACGGACACAATGAAATTATTTTCCTACTGACCTGCAGGAAAGCAGCTCGAGTTGAATGTTCGACTAGTTCATTGACAAAATTTTGAATACTGATTAGATTATGTCGTCGTTTGTCGACTTTAGTTAGCCACGGTTTATTTAGACTGAATGAATATTGCACGTCGAAAGTTCGATTTGAACCATTTACATTTTGAGACGATTTACATATTGCCAGATCGGTTTGTTGATAGGATGATAATAAACGGGATTGATATAGAACAAGATCATTTTGTGTTGCTGGTAATGAGCAACGTGGGATTGTATGATGAAAAGAAACTTTTCTTTCACGTCGATTATTTCTTCCTGATGATCGACATCGTATTGAAACATTCGGTTGCAGTGAACGATTTATTGGTGATATTGACGGATTTTGAAATGATGATGATGATGTTGTCGTAAGAGAAATACATGGGCATGAAAGAATTCGTACTAAAGAATTTAGCGCATGTGAAATTGCTTGATCAACTTGATTGCTGGCTAAATTTAATAGTTCTTCAGAATATAAATTATCACTAGATTCTAGCTGTTCCATCTAGAAAAAAATAGTAACCTATTAACAAGCTTTCTTTTTCAAAAACAAAAACACAAGGATGATTGAAATTTTATTTCGGAAATTCGTTACTAAGTGAACTTGATAATTGTCAACCGTGTCAATATATGTTATCCACCAATCATTGTTTTTTTGTTTCTATAGAAATAAAGTTAAAACAATAAATATTGTGAATAAAACCATTTCCTCAAAAGTCAATATGAGATAAGATAAAAAGAATACAATAAAATAAAACGATTGCGTCCAAAGGTTAGTCTTGTGTTAGATCACTTGTCATTGAATTAGATTCATAAAAGTAGTCAAATTAAAAGTTCGAATCGTTTGTTTCAAAAAAATTTGTTGTAGTAAATATATTTTCGACATATAGACAAGAGTATCGGTATAAACACAATAGATATCGATACTGATACGTTTAGGAATTACACAGGAAAGAACATCTCAATCTTGACTGATTCAATAGAAGCCAATCCAGTAGGACAAATCGAACACATCCAATACGCGCACAGCGGAAAAAGTTATTTTCAACTGGACATGTTTATCGGAATTCATCTTTACTTTTCTTTCCGAGTATGGTTCATCAATTGTAATAATAGTAATTTGCTAGACATCAATCAAATCTGTTAAATTCTAGTTATTAATCCTTATCCTACGACTTGAGCTTAATACTTTAATCATCCAAACTGCCCACGTTATTTTTTTAAATTTCGCTCTATTTATTCGTGACATCCTATCTTTTTTTTGTGATTTTTAGTATAGTTTGTTCGGACGCTTACGAGAGAGAAAGATAACGATAACATATAGAGAACAGAAAACAAACAAACTGGAGAGGCATTGATGACGAATCCACGTGTATTGAATTGCTTTTTCTTTCTTGACTATTCTTCCATTATCGAATATCTTTGAAACCAAAACACCATGCCAGGGGAAGGAATCAAATCTTCTGCTATCTGACTAAATCAGATGCATAGAACCACTACGCCATCCATGGCTAACTGCTCACGTTACTCTCTATTCAACATAATCTTAGTTTTCTCTTACTATCTCTAAAACTCTTATTTTAAAACCTAAGTCAACTTGGATTGTCAAAAATATAATATTATTTGTTCTTGATTATTTTTATCAATACTTACTAGTGGAGCCATATATACGAAAAGTTAACATCTAAAAACCAGTATCTAACGTAATTGCCATGAATAGATCATTAATAATCGTTAAAATTTTGCTTTCATTTTGGAATAGACTACTTAAAGCAGCCGGTAAATTTCGCGTTGTTTCATAGCTTTCAACAAAAGCATAGAAAAATGATCCACATAAAAATTGATGTGGATAAATTTTATAGACGAATGGCCGATTGAAAAATTCATTAGCATACATACTAAACATATATATTGTTTGTAAACAATTAAATTCATGTATAATACTGCAATCGAATTTTTTCAAACCAAATACTTTTCTTGACATAGCTTTTAATTTTAAACCTATTGAACGACGTATTTCAGGTTCAATTTGTGTATGATTTCTATTATCGTCTACTGATATTGATAAGGGTTTAATATCTTCCGATTGAAAATGATCGGTGTCAAATAAATGAATAGATTTTATTAATGAAACAATTATAGCATAGAGATAAACAGGCGCAAGATTACGAATGGAATACCAATATCGGATGCACATTAACCAAAAATGATAATCCCTATGAATATGATTGTATGTTTGTAGGTCTGCCAATGAAGTTTTTAAGCATTTCAAAACAAAATCTTGACGTTCAATAAATGATAAAGAATTCAAACGATTAAGATCGAGAGCATTATCAATTTCAGTGATTTCATAAGCAACTGGTTTAAGTTGCTTCAGAACACGGTGATAAATAATAGCATATTCATCACATTCTGGATTATCCCATTTAATTAAACTTGCTAGACATGGTAACATAGTTGGTATTGCATCCACATATATCGATGGTTCCTGTTCAATTTCAATATGTGCCGAACAAATGAAATGACGATGAATTAGCATTTCAATAAATGTTACTGATAATTGAAGATCTGTTAAATTATGAAGTAAAAATTTTGGTACCGGCTGATTATGTTTGCTTTTTATTTCGGATAAATCTTTGTCAATTTGAATTTGAATTTGTCCGTCATTCTGAAGAGAAAATATCGTTTTAAAAATAAAAATAAGCAAAATAAGAATCGTTTGACTACCATATTGATTGTATCAAGATAATCTCGAGCTAATTTAACAAAATGAGAATTTTTCAAAAGATTTCCATTGGTCGACGATGCAAAACGATAAATAAGTGTATCGGTCGGATTCAAATACGATTGAATTGCAAGTCGCATTTTCATTTCAATTTTCTTTCTTAATGTTTTATCAATTGGCAAAAGTAAGTTTTCTATTGCAGTATCAATATCATCAAATTGTTTCATCCATTCCATTGCATACCAATGTTTAGTACGATTATATTTACTAATTTTATATACACGTGATTTGGCTACATTCGCCATAATATGATTGAACATTGGATCAGTTATACTTCCATTGATATAATCATTGCCACATAAACAACAAGCAAGTGAAAGCGTAGCAGAATTTAAACCAACAAAACTTTCAAGTAAAGTATCTATGGTAAATAATTGAGCTGATAAATAATGATATGAATCTTTTTCAATTGGATTGATATCAATATAATCAAATGGAATATAACCTTTAGAAAGATTATAACAATAATAGTCGCTATCACGCGCTATCAAATAGCAATCCAGATGATTCGCTAATGATACAGATTCGTCATCACCTTCACCCAATGCTGATATATATGGAATATTCATGGCATCGAGTACATTGATAAATGCTTGTCGTAATAATAATGGACTTAAATCGATATTGACACTGGTTCTTGTTGAATAATCAACGCGTCGTTGTGATCGTTCGAGTACTGTAGATAATTTTCGACTGTCCAATCGAGCACCATCAAACACAACAATGGCACTTAACATAAAACAAAAATTTAGAAAAATAAATAAATAAATAAATAATTAATTTCTAGCACATACTTTATATCACAGATACGAAATGATTCAAATAATTGTTTACAATAATGATAAAATTTATCGTATTCACCGCCAAATAAACAAGTTAAATGGCATTCTTTATACATTTGATGGTAAATTGAATTACCATCAAGTAACACATTACAATTGTGTAATTCAAATCGATTAAGTAAACTTAATTTTTCTTCAATAAACGTTTGTAAACCTCGAATGCCCATCTTCAGAAAAAAAATAAAATAAATAAATATATATATATATATATATATATATATGTATATTGAACACGTAAATATTAAATATAATTATTTGTGTATCAAAACAAAAACCCAAACAAAACTTTAATAGTGAATGACTGATCAAAAAAAGAAACAAAAATAAGCATATTTAGAAACGTACGAGCAATACATGTCAGTGACTGGTACATAAAAGTGCACGTAGAATTACAGTGCACAAACTTGAGAGAAAAAAAGAGACGAAACGCAAAAAAGACGAAAAGTTCGTAAAGAGCACGATAAAAAATCATATGGTGTGGTTGAAGGCATCTCTCATCGATCATAGTTGGCACAAAAATAAGAAAAAAAAACGCACGAACACAGGACGAAATTCGGACTGAAAGCAAACATTCACGAATAAAATTAAAATAAAATAAAATCGACATCAATCTGACTGATATGTCTTTATTCGAGGATGATAATGCACGAGATTTGTCGTTTGAAGATTCTTGTACTAATAAAAACAAACAAACAAACAGACAAGTAGCAACACATGTCTACCAAGCATCTGTATATCGGATATCGCATTCTTGTAAAGCTGGTAATTTTTCCTAAAACAATTTGTTAGTTTGAATTAGAAACACAATAATAATATATGAGATATGATTGATCTATACTTTTAGAGCTTCGAACGTTAACGGAGATAAATGTGTTGAATTCAAATTAAGTTTTCTTAACATTTTCATGCCTGAAACAAATTCAAATAGAATAACATGCAAGAAATTCGAACTAAAAATCAAAGCCTTACATGCTAAATAAGCAAGACCTTTATCAGTCACTGGTGTTTCACATAAATTAAGTACTTGCAGTCGACTTAAATGTTCAGAAATCAATTCTAGCCCAGCATCTCCAAACTAAAAACAAAAGAAAAAGAAACAAATTCAACGAACATAGTTCAATGTCAAAGCTCACTTGGGTTGACCATAGATTTAAATATCTTAAAGCTGGTAGTTTAATTAAATTTTCGGCACAAGCACTTGTAACATTAGTAAATGCTAAACTTAAACATTCAAGATTGCCAAATGAACCACTGGACAATAATTTAGCTAAATCATTATCAGTCGAACGTGATGGTAACGTTAATTTTCTTGGTCCACCTTTTTGTTGTAATTCTCTCAATGCTATTTGTCGTTCGCAAACTTTTGCATACATTTTCAGGCCAGTCGATGTCGATTGTAATGTTGATATTAATTGTAATTTATTGTCACGATTTTCTACGGCATCCAAATCCAACATAGCACATAGAGTCTACAAGAAAATCAATTTGTTTTTATTTTCAGAAAAGTAAATATTTGAAATTTAGTCTTACGTCTAATGAACTTTGACTTTCACGTAATGCAAGTAACATTAAAGCCGGTAATAATTTATTGATACTTAAAAGGAAACGTTTCTTTCGACAACAACATGATATTAATTTATTAAGCTAAAATGAGAATAAAAATGGTAAAAACAAATAAATATTATAACACAAAAAGCAAAAATTTCTTTACCATCAATGAGAACATTTCACCATCATCATCACAAGCAATACCACCCAAGCAAAACATTTCAAACCATCCTTCTTTACCTTCACGAATGCCTAACACTGTTTGATGAACTTCACAGCGTGTATCGTCGACCAAATGTTTTACTACATTTTTGAATATTCTATTTTAAATAAACAGAGCAATAGAAATTGAATTCATTTTTCTAAATAATGTATTACTCAATAAAACGATCATGCGTTAATGCTTCATCAGGGAACGGGATGGACTGTAGTAGTAAACCAAGATGAGGTCGCCAGTCATCAAACGTTGACCTAAATAAATAGAAAAGAAAGACATATATTATCATGCTGATGCTTTCTAAGACCCCAAACAGACCAAAAAGATGACTTAAGTGTGAATTAACTAACCACGTTGCTTAATTCTGTTTTATTTTTTTGATCTGTTTCGGGCCTAAATGAATGTTATATGATTTACAGACAATGATTATTCACATGAACAGTTAATGTAACTGACTACTACTCGAATTCGATATGATGTAGTTGGCAAGGTACAATTCATATTTTGCAAGTGCTATATATACTCCGTACTTTGCTCCTGAAAATAAACTTTAAGCACTTTTGTCAACGTCGCACTTGAGAGAAAATAGGAAAATAATTGATTGGTTGTTCTTATTAAAGCAGTAGCCAATCTACGAGCAGGATATTTTATTTGGATGATCTGTTAGGAAATATTTTACTCAAAAAAAAAATTAGCTAAACTTGAGATTATCAATTAAAAATAGTCATGATTTTTCTGGTTGGTTAGAGGGAGTTAGAAAACACGTACGAATCATTTTGTATCGTAGAATAGGTGAATTGCACTACGAGTACATTCTATTCTACGGCCGACAGTCGATGTATGTAATTCTATATACTCAAAGAGCAATAATAAAAAAAGAATACTATGCGTTTACAACAATATTTCATGCATACTCCCTTGATAACATTTAATTAAAACTTGTCTGAATAGAACAATCAAATTTTGTCGAAAATGAAGCTTTCCTTTATTAACGCAATTCAATTCTTTGGAAAGAAACGTGCTTGTCACTATGTAATTGATTAAAAAAAGACAAAAGACCGCCAACATGATAAGATTCTCGACTCCCACCTGAGAAAACGTGTTTATTTTGTCAGCGAAGTTAAATTATCTGCTTCGTAAGATAGAGGTCAATCCCCAGCGCTCACAAATTTGATGACCTTGAAACATTTCTAGTCAGTAATAGCAGTAAAAATCTGGTAACCCATCTGCATCATCTATCTGACATATATATAAACATTCGGCTACATAATTCTATTGCGAAATACCAATAACTATTCTATAATCGATAACTTTCTGTCGTTACTATGAATAAATTCACAACATAAAGTATTCGAATTGTTCTCTAGATAATTTCATACATACATTGTTTGTAACATTTTCGTATAACATACTAATTGACTTTCAGTTTCTTCTTCATAGGCTCGACAACTTTCTTTATCTTCAAAGCGAAAGCTAATGAATAGAAAAAAAAAGAAGGCAAATGTTGCATATAATTCACATCAGAACAGCGTAATAAAAATAATTACTTTTTCCGATCTTCAAAAAAATTATAAATAGCAGCAAGACAAACGGAAACAAAATTTGAGAGAACACGCGGGAATGGACAAACCATTGTTGGCCCATGAACTCTGCATACAAAAAAAAGTAAATGCTCATTTTTTGCCAAAAGAAAAATCGTTCATTACCGCTTAATAAAATCTTGTACAACACGTAAACCATCATTCTGCGAGGTAAGGGCAAGAAGATATTCTTGAATAAATATTCTCATTCGTGGATATTTACCAAAATCCTTTAAATAAATATTTTTAGATTTTTATTTTGTAATATTAATCCTAAAAAAGCATCGATTACTGTATTGTGTTTTAAAATTCTCTGAACCACTGGTGTGAACATTTCGATTACAATTTGAGACCGCGGGCTATCGCGACAATGCTAAAAGCAAGAAAGATTTCGTAAGAAAACAAACGAACGATGAATATATTTAATTCCTACTCGACTGAAAAAGTCACATATTTCCGGTGATGGATAATTCTTTTCAAGTAGTGGTGCTAATGCTACAATTACATTCTCATGAACAAAACGTGGTAAATTAAATTCTTGCTACAAGAAAAAAAAAGATTTTTAATGATAAAGAAAAATATGCAAAAACGCTAGGTCATTTTGATTTACCTGTTGAAGAATTTCAGAAATAATTTCAAGTGGAAAATGATGAACTTCAACATCATCAATTGGTGTTGACATTGCAAAATCTATCATACTCTATGTTTAGAAGAAGAAAACAACAGTTGCATATTAATAATTAAAAAATTAAACAATTTACCGTCATTTCTTTTAAAAGTACTTCCGGACGATTAGCGGAGCGTAAAATACGTTCAAATTTTAATTTATTTCTCTATAGAAAAACGAAAATTTTATGATATACTAGCATTTCTAGAACGACTCATAATAACATACTTTCCATTGAATTGAATAGAACCATTGGTCTCTTAAATGAAGCGTATTAACCTGAAACAAATGTTCCATAATCAGTTAGACTTTTTTATCGTAAAAAACCTAGAATGTTTTTCTTACTTGAAAAAAATAAATACAATCGTTCGTAACTATTCTTATGCAAAATCGACAATCTGAATCGATTACTTTCGATTTTGACCATACAGATACATCTTCAATTGCTGAATAAGCGATCGATCTATCCATATAGTTTTCACTCTATAGAATGCAAAATAGAAGAATAGAATAATATCGATTTAATCGATATAGGGAACAAACTATTGTTGGTGCTATTTCATTGTGCTCAAGATTAATATGATGATCTTCCCAACGACGTAGAAAACGTGAAAAACGTATTTTTTCGATAATATTTTTTGCATGAGGCACACGACACACTTGCACAACACCATCAGTCAATAATTTATAACGCTGTTGAATATGACGACCATTAACAAGCATGCTAAGCGTATTAGCTGTAGTTCCACTAGCACAAGCTATAGCACAATTATTCGATGGCGATCCCAAACTTATATTATCACTATGCCCTAATGAACAATAACAACCACGATTATCTCGACTTGATAACGAAAGAGAACTAATTGCATTACTCTTCCCAACCAATCTTGATGCATTTTCCATTCTATTATAATTTGAATAAAAATTCGACTGTATGATTCATTAATCTTTTATATTTGATTACCTATTACTAAACTTATGTGTAACTCTATATATATATATATATATATATATATTGCACACACTTCAATATTCAATTCATCTGAAACAAAAGAATAAAAAGAAAACTAAATTCACCTATAAGTATATTTTTGTATGTACTTTAACCTGATTATACCATCAGATAATCGAAAGGATTAAAATAGGATAGTTATATATGCAAAAATCAAACGTGCTTTTAATAAATTTTGCTTTTCTTCTATCATTCATTTAATTTCATAGTCCTATCAGGCTTAAAAACTCGGAAAATATGGATATTTATTTAAATTTATGATCAGGACAATGCATTTTCTTGATGGATCGATTTGAGTGTTCTTAAATATAGAATATATTAATCAAATAGCACCATATAGGAGCTTATAAAAGTAGACTAACACATGTCAAACAACCTTAGCATTTCTAGAAGTAAAATCTCTTTCTATCGTATTATAATTGCTAGTTGTCAAAATAATCATCGTCGCATAGAGAGCAAATGGATTTAAGTTGACAACTCTTCATTATGCATAGACGATGTTCTTTCATATATCTTCTATACACATTGTTAAACTCGAAATATAATAAAAATAAACCTGAGAAAACTTCTTTGAATGACGCAAATAACAAAAAACTGACATGAAGCAGACTTGGATAGCATGACTTTGATGATCACAAGAGGCAAAGTGTGATGGAAAAAAAAGAGAAAAAACAATGTAATCGAGGGCGTCACAGTCTATTTATTGAAATATAGAAGCAACACTAATACTAGTTATGAGAAAAAAGATAGAATAATATGTTGGCAGAATAGCAAAAGGAGAAGAAGAAGAAAACGACGGAGAACCACCAATGATGACGACGACAAAGGGACAGAAAAAAAACTGGGCTTATGCGTATTTCTCATATAATACTTGATGCAATGTGACGGGATAGAATAGACGAAGAAAATTCACTAATGACGAACGACGAGACTCAGGGAAAAGAGAAAAAAATATAAGAAAACGAGTTGCTTCTGTCTGCGACATCTTCAAAGAAATATAAAGGAAAACCTTCTAGTATTCTTAAATTATCCTATCGTGCGTTTTGTGTTACCTTTTTTTATTTGTCTTCCTAGAAATCTATTAAGAAGTTTTTTTCCTGAGCTAAATTTGCTTACTATAATAATATCGTCATCAGTTCTCTTTTTTTCTCTCTTCTTCTCCCTCATATTCTTTAATGATAAAGTATTTTACTCGAAAAATGTTTTTGCTGCATGTGTCCTCAAAAAATTTATCGAGTTTTACAAGATTTTTCATTATAGAGAAAATTGATGTTTTCTACGATTCACAAGTATGCAAAGAGATATTTTTTAATGGAGACCATCGTTTAGTGTTTCTCTGTCAAATTCTTTCACGCGCATCTGGCTCTTGTCTATAAACAATAAGAATAGAATTGCATTCGACTAAGTTTAATCACCTGTTTTTGCGCGTGCGAAAGAAAAACGGAATAAAAAGAAAGCTCATTATATTAGTCTTATCATTGTTTGTGACGCAAAATATTAACGTCTATCAAACAGCGTCATCTGTTATTCAATACCATCTATCATCATTTTCATATATCTACATAACAATTATGGCTAAAAATAATCTAGAATAAACAAAATACGAGAGTCTAGGTTTTTTCTCCGGACACAATATTCATTTATGCATAGTCATCTTTCTGTATAACAAGAATATTTTCTTTTTTTAAGCAAAACAAAAATACACAAAGATAGGAAAGAAATAAAAACAACTAATGCATAGCGTATGCTAACAAGTATACATATATACATTTACAGTAAATCAAAATAAAAGAGTGTAGTTATCTACTAATATTTTGCCATAAAAAAAAAACATCCCCATTTCGATGGTCATAGGAAAACGAATTGCGATCTGACAAAAAAAACCCGTTGTCGACTAATGAGAGCATCACGCTTCATTTACATTCATCTGGGTCAACATTAATTGTTTTTGAATAAACATGTTTTTTTCCTAAATTATAATTTGTACTTAATGAATACTAAATATAAATTTACCTTCTATTCTACAGATTATATAAATCAGGAATAGAATTAATAGCGCCAGTAACAACAGGATAATTATTACTAATATAATTATATGTTTCATTGATAATGCTGGCTTTAAAAATTCTTCTGTCGAAGTTAGAAATAATGACGAGACGGGAGTAGCATCTTAAAAAAGTCAAGTTTTACTTTGCTTGTTTCCTGTAACATATTATTTTCATACTAGTTGATCTTGTTACAAAAACATCATTGAGACAGTCGGAATTACAACTTAATTTTTCAATGGAATCAGGAATTCGGAAATTATTGGAAGTAACATCTTCGATAAAGTCTTCTTCAGAACATTTATCGTAATTTCGACAAGACTTTTGTTAATTTAAAAATAAAAAATCAATTTGCAATTATTTATTTATTAAATACTCACGCCATTACAACGACGAATAATAAATTCAATTCGATGAATAGCTACATCTTCGACGGTAAATATTATTTTATGACCAGTATTCTCTAGGATTCTGATTGTAGAATAAACACATCTATAGAAATGAAAAGATTTGAATCATTTATTTTTTTTTGCTTTGAAGTCTAACGACATACGTATAGGAAAACCAATAATTGATTGACAGGCGATTTTCGTAGCCAGCACGTTTAGCCCAGAGAATTTCAAATGATTCATGACGGGCTAAATATAAAACACATGGTAATTATAAAAATATGAAATCGAAATAATCTCTCATTTACCCAATCTAGTAGTTGTGATATTAAAAGTATAGAAAATAAATTCGCCTTCATCTACTTGAAGAACACTAATCAATGGTGCAATGGATTTGTACTAAATATGTGACATTCCTGTGTTCTCATTTGTAAAGTTAATTGATTGAACTTACATCTATTTGACAATAGACACAAGCGTTCTCATCGTGTCTTGAGGATTTCTAAAAAAAAGAGATTAGAACAAATTAGTGTGGAATATTATACGAACCGATAAGGTGACTGCTTTTTTTACTAATTGAACTTTTAGATAATTTGAGCCAAAACGACTTATTCCACATTGGCCTACATTTGTTTTTTGTGTACCATTCTGACTACATTTTGATGTTTGGTTAGCGAATTTCCAATTGAATATGTCAGTCTATACGTAAATATTTATCATAGACAGCAGAAGCACCTTCTATTCATACTTACAGTGGCTTCATTGAATGTTAAATAGCTACTGTTACATTTAACATCAATATCTGAACCGAATGATAACGTTTCAATGAAAGGACAATAATCGCGGTCAAATCTTGACACAATATAATTTTCTCCTAAAAACAAGATAACAATATTAAGTACGATTATCTGTCTTTTAGATTTATTTATTGCCTGCACATGCGATCATAAAAGAATTAATAAAAATGAATATTAATTTTGAAACAATAATTACAGATGAAAAAGAGCAAGTACACATTTGGTATCGGCATCGAGTTATGACTGTAGCCTAAATAGAAAAAAATAATAAAGACAGGAGTTTTGCTTTTTCGCTGCATCTCTACAGGATTTATATTACATAAGCAGCAATCTATGAGAAACTGAGCAATAATAGGAAACGATTTCTTTGTTGGAAAGCAAGGCCAATCAATCTGTTTAATGCTCAATAATATTTGATGTATGCTTATATATTCTAAGAATGAGCAGATGCCTATGCCGATCTTACACTTAAAACAAAACTAATCTGAACTCGACGTCTTCTTAAGCAATAGCACCTATGGGAAAATAAAATATTCAATTATTTATAAGTAAAAAAAGAATTATATTGTAGGGATTCTCTGAATTCAAAAGAACAAAAATTTATTTTATTTCTTATTTTTCGAAATGATCTATGTGCAGTTCTTTTTCTGGCAACATTCATAGGCGAATCTTTTCATATGCTAACTAGATCCATAACATCCCCAACGTATCACTCACTAACAAAACTTAGCTGCAATTATGCGAATTTGGTTATTAGATTTTTTTTGTCTTCATACCCTTTTTTCTTCTCTTTTTTCATTCTCCTTGCCGCCATTGACAAATATCTTTATTTCAAGCGAAGAAAAAAAAACAAAAAGAATAAAAAAAAAGAGCAAGCAAGTAATAAAAAACCTATTTTTTATATCGAATGGTGTCTTTCGGACGTATGCTTACTTTGTATCAACTATTTATATACAGCACTTCTGTTTCGAACATTTCTCACATGTCTGCTTTATATTAAATAGAGAATAATTTTCACGTAATGAAGCCAATTCGAATGTTTAAAATTAATCTTGGATGATAAATAATCATATTCAAAACAAAAAATGATGATCTGATCTTAAAAAAAGAAATAAAAATGATGTAGTAAATACAAACCTATATGAAAAGCTTAACTTGAAAAGATAAGAACTTTTTTCAAAAAAGATAGAAATGTCCTTCATTTAGTGTAACATTCAAGTATGAGTAATAAATTATGTAGAAAATCACATATGATAAGCAAATAACTAATTTAACAAATTTTGTTCGGATAAAAGTATCATAGTTTTCAAAGTTTTATTCTGTGAACGTCATTGCATGAAAGTTTTTACTTTATGGAAACAGGTTTTTATTTTATCTATAGACACGTTTTCTGCTGACATATTTATGCAAAAATAAGGAAATCAGAATGATTTTAACACAACTCTCTATGCCTGACGGAACCAACAAACAGTATATTTCGCAGCTATTTTATACGTAAACAGCCTTTTAAAAATACACTTTGTCTTAGCATAGAATTTTCTAATGGAAGAAATTTACTTACAGAGTTTTTCTTGAGAACATAAATGTGCCTTCAAGGATTGTTTTTTTTCTTCTTCATTATGCACCAAACTCACAACAGTTACTATAATCATTATTTTGTTTGACGACTTTTTCTGAAATAACTTCCAAAAGAAAAGTTCTGTTTATGATCGAAAACACAATTATGTGATCAAGAAATTATTCTTTATTTTATTTTTTTTTGTACTGTTTTAAATTAGAATTTGTAAGATATCAATTTCAAATTTATTCATATCAGAACAGCATTTTATGATCTATGAAATAATTTTTATAGCTCATTCATATACGGTTCCTGATTTCCTTTACACAGAATCCTATACCGTCGTTTTATAATTATAAAAACTAAGGTTCAAACTATCTGTGTCTTATTATATATTTAATTAAGTGGAAAACATCACATGATCTATTTCAAAATGTCAAGGACCTATGCACTTAACGTAACCTATCCATCATCAAATATCGGCAGGTCCGTATTTTATTGAAGTACCTGTGTAATAAAGAATCTTTTTTGCCAATTTTGATTCAGAAAAAATGAAATAAATAATAATTTTCATCTCTATAATTGTAAAATAATATAATTTTTTCGAATCTATAGTTTTGTTTTAGTCACTAGTGACATCTGTTTGCAATTTCTGTTTGTTTCTTTCTGTGCACGCAGTCTGTTGGTGGTGTAGAACGCAAAGGCTACTTGTATGTATTGCTTTTACTATTAGGTGTGTGTATGTCTTTTTTGCTGACATTGAATTTCATTCTAGATTATCATCTGTTTTCAAACCATCCATTACTGAAATGTCATCATTAACACGTCTAACCATTTCAGCACCATCGGCTTTATGCCGTCTTGGTCAATTATTGGCTAACCGACAAATTATTTTTCAAAAACAAGTACCAGTAATGAGTATGGCTAATTCATGGATGGTTCCATCTCAACGTACTATTGCTACATCAGCTATACGTCGTGATATTGATTCAGCCGCTAAATATATTGGTGCTGGCGCAGCCACTGTTGGTGTAGCCGGTGCTGGTGCTGGTATATTTTACTTTTTAAAACAAATAGCCAGATAAAGAAAAGCTTATTCCTGTTTTTAATTTTGTTTAGGTATTGGAACAGTATTTGGTTCATTAGTAGTAGCCTATGCACGTAATCCAAGTTTAAAACAACAACTTTTTTCATATGCTATTCTTGGATTTGCTCTTTCCGAAGCTATGGGACTTTTTTGTCTTATGATGGCTTTTATGTAAGTATAACAGGTTGTTTCTATGTTTAGTTAATTTTATTCTTGGATTTATTTTAGGCTGCTATTCGCTTTCTAAATACTACTGGAAAGAAAAACACTTGAATTCTAACATTTTTATAAACTATGCGCATTCAATGTTGTTCTTTTCATTCGTGTAATGTGTCATAGGTTCTATTATCTCTAGCGTAATTTTTCTCATTCACGTGTGATTGATTTAGTTTCTAGTTTTATTATCTCTCTCTCTCTCGCTCTTTCCTATCCGAACCTTTTTCACTCCGGTTTGTCGTTCTGTAATTGCAACATCAACTTTTGTTTGTAGACAGTGTTCTTTTTTCGGAATTGAAAACAAACGGACAGACTTATATAATAGTCTTAATGAATCGATTGCAAATTATGATCAAGCACATATGAAAAAAAAACTAGCATTGAATGAAGGATTTATATATATATTTATTATCTTTCTTTAAGATATCGAAAAGTTGGAAAATAAGTCTGATATAGGAGCAAAAGCAAAATCTCTCTTTTCTAGATTGGATGTGAGACAGAAAAGGCTATCGTTCGATGATTCATCGCAGTATTGAAGAAGTTTTATATTCTTAAAATTGAATTTCTTTTTGTTTAAGAAAGGTAAGTTGAATGTTCGTCGTTTCAAAGAAATTGGTATGTCTTCGTCCGCTATTCCTTCGTTCGATTACTACCGATGTTCTTCGAATTGGATCTGTCACTCGTCCAGTGACACCACCAACGGATAGTAATCAATCACTTGTTCCGATATTTTACTATGAAAAAAATCTTTTTCCACCACCATTTGTTCGTCATCTTGAATGGCTAATGAAAAAAGATAAACTTGGACAAGATGCTTTATTCGTTGGTCCACCGGGACCAATTCGTCGTCGTCTTATTCTTGCTTATCTTGAATTAACCGGTAAACCATATCAATATTTACAATTAACTCGCGATACGACAGATTCAGATATAAAACAACGACGAGAAATTCAAAACAAAACAGCTTTATTCATAAACCAAGCAGCTGTCAATGCTGCTATTCACGGGCATACACTCGTTCTCGATGGTTTAGAAAAAACAGAACGAAATGTTTTACCCATATTAAATAATTTATTGGAAAATCGTGAAATGAATTTAGATAATGGACAATTTTTAGTATCAACACAACGTTTTGATGAACTATTAAAATCTTATACGAAGGAACAGCTTGATCAATTGAATTTTATTCGTGTTCATGAAGATTTTCGTGTTATTGCTTTAACATTACCACCGTTACCCGATTATAAAGGACATAGTCTTGATCCACCATTACGATCTCGATTTCAAGTAAATGAATTTTCAATTATTCTTCCTAGGATAGTAATTTTCTTTTCAGTTACGTGACATGGGAAATGTGCCATTAAGTTTTACTGAACATACAAATCTTCTTCAATCACTTCATCCTAATGTTGATAGTCATTTCATTGAACAATTACTTTCTTTAGCATCTTTAATTAATTCAACTGATTTAGAAACTCTTAAATTAATTCATTTTCCGTTCGATCGTCTTGATCTTTCAGTTCGTTTAGCTGAATTAATTCCAGCGATAAATCTTGCTGATTGTATTCATCGTATTTATCCCTATGAAATTCTTTATAGGCAATCAAAAGAATCCAAACAAGCTATTCAACATATGTTTAAAACATTAGCTCTACCACAGCAAGAAAAAAATTCATCAAAGAAAATTATTAAAATTAATCGTCAAGAAACTAAAGCTACTGTTGATTATGAAATGAATGGAAAGCAATATCAACTAACGGTATTGTAATCGAATCATGAGAGGATTTTTTTGAAAGTATTATTATTTTTTTTCAGGTACCAGCTCATGATAGTAAATTAGTTATTAATTCACCAACATTTATTAGTACATCTTATCATGATCAACTTCTAGCTGATTTAATGTTAAGTCATGCTATTGGAGATATGTGTTTAATTGGTCCGAAAGGTTGTGGGAAAAGTTTAATTATTGATCAATTTGCTTCTTTACTCAATTATCCAATTGAATATTTTGTACTCTATAAAGATTTATCAGCACGAGAGCTATTACAACAACGTATTACCAATGAAAATGGCGATACTCTATGGCAAAATACGCCACTCGTACAAGCAGCTATTCACGGCCGACTACTTGTACTCGATGGCATACATCGTTTAAATAATGATACATTAGTTTCATTACAAAGACTTATTCAAGATCGTGAACTTTTCTTACCCGACGGAACACGTCTTCTTCGGTAAATTATTGAAACTAAGAAAAAATCAACATACAATGAAAGTGAATATTGTTTTCTTTTTGTAGGCATGATCGATATGATCATTTAGAAAATCCACCAACAAGTATTCGTAGAATTCATCCGTCATTTCGTATCGTTGCTCTTGCTGAACCACCTTCAGGAGGCAATATTGCACCTAGTGAAGGTTCTTCGGTAAAATCCTCAAGTGAACAAAACTGGTTGAATGCTGAAACATTAAATTTATTTTTATATCATCAAATGCGTTCATTGAATTTAAATGAAGAACGTGAAATAGTTTATTCATATTTATCGGCTCCTAATAAATCAATACCAGCTATTGAACATCTTCTTCAATTTGTTCATGAACTACGAAATTCATCTGAAACACAATTGAAAACTGTAGCACAATCATTATCAACACGAAATGTTTTACGTGTCGCTAAACATTTAAAACAAAATACATCTAATTATCATCTACAATTACGCGATCAATTAATTCGACAAACATCGGCACCATTTCTTCCACGACTTGTTCAAGATGCATTTTATGAAGCATTAAATAAATCAGGTCTTGAAAATAATCAACCGGCTATATCGTCCGATATCAATTGGAAACAATCAGTTATGAATCCGAATGATTCCTCGAACAGTTCGTTTGAACATGCAGCAAAAGTTCCTTTTACAGTTTTCTATGAAAATCCAATACATAGTGAAATTATTCAACAAATGCATGAATCGTTTTTGTTAGGTGAACATTTATTATTAATTGGACCGCAAGGGTAACGATTTGATTGATGTGTTGGAATAAAATCTTATTTTATTATATTTACAGAGTAGCAAAAAATCGTATTGTTGATCATTATCTTCAAACATTAAAATTGCCTCGTGAATATATTCAACTACATCGTAAATAAATCATCTTGAAGTCGATTTTACGAATGCTTTTTTGTTTTGCTATTTGTTATTCTAGGCGACACAACTGTACAAAGTCTGACGATTCAAGCAAATATTATCAATGGTCGTATTGTCTATGAAGATAGTCCATTGATAAAAGCAATAAAAGAAGGTTCAGTTGCAGTTATCGATGAAGCAGATAAAGCTCCAACGAATGTAACAGGAATATTAAAATCTTTGATTGAAAGTGGCTCCATGTTTCTCAGCGACGGACGGCATGTTTATCCGAAAGAAACAGGAGCTATTACAACAATACCATCGAATATGATTATTCGTACTCATCCAAATTTTCGAATGATTGTTCTAGCGAATAGACCTGGTTTTCCATTTCTTGGAAATGAGTAAGTTCGTTGCATGAATAAATTCTATTTCTATTTTTCTGTTTAGCTTTTTCCTAAGCTTAGGTGATCATTTTTCAACATTTCCAATTTTGAATCCACCTCGTGAAAGTGAAATTATTCTCTTACAAAATTTTGGTCCTAATATTGAACGTAAAAAACTCGAACAATTAGTCGATGTATTTACACAATTACGTCAATTATCTATCGATGGTATCATTTCATATCCTTATAGTTTACGTGAACTTGTTTCAATCGTCAAACATTTAAATATGTTTCCAAATGATTCATTAGCTGATGTTGTCTGTAATGTATTTGATTTAGATAATTATAATACAGATGTTATTGATCGTATACAGTCAATTCTTCATCGGCATGGAATTCCATTTCATATAGAAAAACGAACAGTAAATTTAGCTAAAAGTTACCCATTAAAACTTGTTTCCAATCAAGAAACATGGCAAACTACGGCGATCGATGGTGCAAATCTTGAACATTCATCATCGATTATATTAAGTGAACAGCCGAATAAACCATCGATAAAAACAATTCACTCAATCAATCGAAATGATTCAAGAACTCGAAATTTTACTGAAATGATTTATAAATATCGATTACCATTGGATGAAACAACTTATGTACATGATCTTAAGGTTCTAAATGCAAATAAATCTGTACTGGTATTAACAGGTAATCCACTGGCATTGTGGATATTTAAATTAGGTGAAAATCAAGCGAAAAAAATTGATTTACACCCTATATTTACTAAGCATTCAAATCGTTTTACTACACCAAATTATCAGGTGACTAATAATATCGAACTCATATTCTAATTTCTATGTTTTATAAATTTAGTTACATCTAATTCCGGGAAATGACAAACAAGTGATTGTAGGTGAGATAACAAATCAAGTATGGTCATTGATGAATCTAGAGGATGGCCAAACTTCGATTGTTCAATCTTGTATTTCATCATCGACTCCATTAACAGAAACCATAAGTCGGAAATTTAATGAACTTCTTTCACAACGAACGACTGTTCCATCAAGATCAGTATACAACTCGATGAATGGTCAACTCCTTCAATATAATTTTAATTCACATGCGATTCATATAGTTGATTTTATGAAAAATCTATCTCACCAAATAAAACTTCCATTTTTAATGCGACATGCGTTTCCGTTGGGTGACCAATTCGTTCTTACTGATCATGTTCAACAAGCTTCATCTTCGTATCTTTTTAATGCAAATAGTGAACAAAAACCAACGATATCAAAGATTCAACATCACATTGATGCGATTGGTTTAGCTAGTAGTGGCGGATATTTGAATGACAATTCATTGTGGTTTTCAAGTTCACATGATTATTTAGCAAAGATTATTTCAAATACAAGTAATAATCTTATTGTTGAAAGGTTTCGACGAACAAAATTAATATCGCCGGGTGATGTGCCAGCACAGGAAATGTATGAAAAACGACGTTTACAAACATTTATTAATAAGCAACATTCATTAATTGCTTCATTATATGCAAAAGCTGAAATTGATAAAAAATTTGCGTATGTTCACTTTTCATTCTTGCCGACAAAGTTCATAATGATTTTGTTCTTTAGAGCGAAAACGGATATTCCTGATGCATCGATTCTTACTTTTATTGAATTAGTTGATTTAAATCATAATTTAGTAACTTATATTCCAATTCAACGTTTTCAAGAACAAAATGCACGTTCATCAACATCTCAACATGAATGGCATATGTTGATTAAATCTGGCTCAGGTGTTATTGCTGAACAATTTAACGATGGTTCGTTAGTAACGATCGATTCTCGTGCTAATATTCATCACTGGGAAATCGTACCAAGTAATTTACAAATTTCATTAGATGCTTGGAGCAAAAATACGAATCAGTCAGGACAACACAGCCTGGATATTGAATATATGAAAGGTGGAAAAACTGATTTAAGTGGACCTAAACATGGAAAAGTAGATCCAGAAAATAATCCACATGTAGGTGGAAATCAATGGGCTGGTGGAAGTGGTGGTCGAGATACTGCTGGTATATTTATTGTTGTTTTAATATTTATATCGACTTACTTTTTTTATTGTTTAGGACTGGGTGGTATTGGAGGACCGTATCGTTTAGACAGCGGTAATCAAGTTTATCAAGTTTCTGATGATGTCAAAGCAGCAGTACCTGAACATATACGAAAAGCAGCAAGAGAATTAGGTCAAAAAGTTTTCAAAGAACGTTTGAAAGAAATTGAAATGTCTGAATATGAACATGAAGTTTATGAAAAATATCTGAATAAAATTTCAAGTGAAATCAAAATGCTTCGATCAATTATTGAATCATTAGAAGCCAAATCGCATGATCGTCAATGGGTGGTAAAGTACCTAAAATATGAAGTTTTTCAATCGATCTATTCCTCTTCTTTGTTTTTCATAATCTCAGCGTCATCGCACAACGGGCGATTGGGATGAACGAAAATTAATTGAAGGTATTATTGGCGAAAAATCTATCTATAAATATCGTGCTGATGTTCCACCTGAGCCTGGCAGTCCACAGACAAAAGCTAAACGTCTTCGTTTAGTTGTCGATTTATCTGCATCGATGTATCGTTTTAATGGTGTTGATAACCGGTTAGAACGTCAATGTGAATGTGTATTGATGTTTCTTGAATCGTTGGCTGGTTTTGAACATAAATTTACTTACGATATTGTTGGTCATTCAGGTGACGAACATTCAATTGAACTTGTAAGAAAAAATCAACCACCAAAAAATAATAAAGAACGCTTGAAACTATTAAAACTGATGTATACACATACGATGTTTTGCAATTCGGGTGATAATACATTTGCAGCTTTAAAATCGGCCATTGATGCTTTACAAGCAGAACCAGATGATACAGTCGATGAACGTTTTGTTATTGTTATATCAGATGCAAACTTCGATCGATACGGTTTATCACCGCAAGTCTTTGGGAAAATGTTACAATCCAATGAGAATGTTCAATGTTTTGCCATGTTTATTGGATCACTAGGACAACAAGCAACACATTTACAACAGAATTTACCATCTGGAAAAGGTTTTGTTTGCCTTGAAACTACTCAAATACCAAAAGTATTAAAGACTATTTTTACTTCTGATGTTTTACATTGATTTACTTTTGTGTAACACATACTATGAATTTTAGCGATTATTTTGTCATAAATCTGTTTGAAATATACCATCTATCATTTTTCTAGAGGGTGTAGGATATATTCGTACTCTCATTTAATCACATCCACATCCTCGGCATTTAGAAGAAAAAGTGTAAGAAAATTTCGTCAGCTACAAATGTAGTTTAATATTTATTTAGAAATATTTTGTCTTTTCACTAATGATTTTTTCACTGACATCCCAACATTCTTCTGCTAATTGTTTATTAAAAGCTAATGGACTTGATTTTGCTTCTTTGCAATTACCATGAAATTGTCCTGGTCTAGCTTCGTTCGATAATGAACAATATAAACTTGTTTGTGCTCCTTGATATATTGATTTTCCAACTATCAATAGTACTACGTGATAAAAGATGTTAAATGATTTTGGTGCTCGTCGTGTTATTTCTGTATAAATCATTCCAGGATGTAATGAATATGCTTTTATACCTTGTTGACCATAGCGTTTTTGTAATTCAAAGGCATGCCATACTTGAGCTAATTTTGATTGACCATACGATATTTGTGCATTATAGGACGAACTGGGAAATTCATAATTGATACGATGATCAACGAAACAGTGTCCTGTACTGCTCACATTAACAATACGTGCTTTTGATCGAATTAATAATGGTAACAGAAGTTTTGTTAAATAAAAATGACCAATATGATTTGTACCAAATTCTGTTTCTAATCCATCCGCGGTTAATGAATGTATTGAGTGTGCCATACCAGCATTGTTCAAAAGAATATTCACATGTTGTTCATGTTTGAGAATTTTATTAGCGAATTGTTTTACTGTCGAAAGTTTTGATAAATCCAAATCGTAACCAACTATTTTACCAGTATCAATTATCTTTGCTTCTTGCGCCAATAATCGAGCTGTTTGCTCAGCTCGATTTTGACCACGTATACCAACAATAACTTTTGCACCTAATTTAGCAAATTCAATGGCTGACGCACGACCAATACCAGATGCTGCTCCTGTAACTATAACTGTTTGCCCAGTTAGATCTGTATTTTTTGATGGAATATATGAATCACCAGTTGCTATTCTTCTACATACAAGTATTATAATAATCAAATAAAGAAATAAAGTAAACAATGAAAACGTTTGAGTAAAATAAAATTTAAATAATAATATAAGAATACTTGAAATTAAGCAAATAAATGATTGAATTTCGGGTTGATATAATAATGGCTTGATGTGCATTTTGCAGATAAGTAAATTTTAAACTTCAATATAATGAAAACAAGAACAACCTTCTGAAGATAATATACTGAAAGATTAGCCCTTTTTTTGTAGAGAGAAAGAAATATAAAAACAAAAAAATTTTCTCGTTCTTACATATGTGTGTGTGTGAGTGAGGGAGCGAGAAAAAAGTTTTTCTTTAGACGCGACAACTATAGTATTGATCTTTCAGTGGTTGTTTTGTCAACACTGCAAGAAGAGAAGAAAACGTCTCTCATGTTTAGTAGAGACGATGGGATGGTCCCATTGTAGTTTTAATGAATACTTTTTGAACGTGTTGCCAATGTTTTGGTACGGATGCTACAACGCAACTAATTGTCATAGAAATGTTACTCGTCAATTGCGCTTGTGTCATATTCACATGTCCAACAGGAACATTAATGAGAGGTTGCTTTTTCAAACGAACTCGAACCATTGCTTTCATTTGCTCGATTTTGTCACATAATGATTCCGTATGACTGACTACTGTTGGAAATTTCCCGATGCGACCCATACCCGGACCGAGTAGACGTGGAATTTGACGAATGATATTGTCCGAGGCTAAGAAAGCATGATAACGATGTTCGAGTTTTCTTTTCTTCTTTTTATCTTTGTTCATACGTCGTAAATCATCGGTTGACATATACGGAATATTGTGTAGACGAGCTTCGTCACAATGTTGTTCATCGCCATAGACACAAACTTTGTAACGAGAACGTGTTGGATGACGAAGTTGAATATTGGCAGAAAAACGTTTTTCACGGTTAGTATCATAATTTTTCAGTACAATCTGTAATTCAACAGTCTCCACGAATTTCCTTTGATGATGACCATGAGCATATTGAAGTAAGCGGTCAATAGACTCTTGAAGAGTCTCCTATCGAGAAAAAAATGCGACATCTTATTCGTTTTGAAAATATAATAGAATTTACTTTCGAAATTTCGTTGTTCGAGCACATAATTGTAGTAACTATAGGCATATTCAGTCGAATTTATATATAACTATTATTGCACAATACAATATCATCATTGTGCAATCGAAAAACTTCACTCAATAGTCTTTTCAAGAGTCGCTCAAATACTATATAGTCAACATAGTAGATATCAAAAGCTTACAGCTGATACAACAGGATACTGGCAAACGAGTACGATTATAAAACACCAAATACAATTATACTGCATCATTTTGATTATCTTTGGGACAAGCATTGATCATAATTATTACTTTCAGCGCGAGTTATTTTATTTATTCGAAAGAAATCGAAATGTCGGAATATGAACGTGAAGTTTAATGAAAAATATCTTAATAAAATTTCAACTGAAATCAAAACTGCATGATCCTCAATAGGTGGTAAAGGGTCTAAAATATATAGTTTTTCAATCGATCTATTCCTCTTCTTTGTTTTTCATAATCTCAGCGTCATCGCACAACGGGCGATTGGGATGAACGAAAATTAATTGAAGGTATTATTGGCGAAAAATCTATCTATAAATATCGTGCTGATGTTCCACCTGAGCCTGGCAGTCCACAGACAAAAGCTAAACGTCTTCGTTTAGTTGTCGATTTATCTGCATCGATGTATCGTTTTAATGGTGTTGATAACCGGTTAGAACGTCAATGTGAATGTGTATTGATGTTTCTTGAATCGTTGGCTGGTTTTGAACATAAATTTACTTACGATATTGTTGGTCATTCAGGTGACGAACATTCAATTGAACTTGTAAGAAAAAATCAACCACCAAAAAATAATAAAGAACGCTTGAAACTATTAAAACTGATGTATACACATACGATGTTTTGCAATTCGGGTGATAATACATTTGCAGCTTTAAAATCGGCCATTGATGCTTTACAAGCAGAACCAGATGATACAGTCGATGAACGTTTTGTTATTGTTATATNATATTGTTGGTCATTCAGGTGACGAACATTCAATTGAACTTGTAAGAAAAAATCAACCACCAAAAAATAATAAAGAACGCTTGAAACTATTAAAACTGATGTATACACATACGATGTTTTGTATTAATTTAATCAATAAAGTCACTGTTCTAAGATTTTATAACAAAATAGTTTGATATGGATGTAATTCGAATTTACTATCGATATCCTTTCTTTCGTAATGTTGTCCCTTTTTCTCAATAGTTATAATAATATTTTAGGTAAGTAGGAAAGATTGGAAATATCTTCATTCATTCTATTTCTTTCTCGACAACATTATTATATGTAAGGCAGGAAAAATATGAAAATGTGTTATTTTTCATGTGTAACGACGTATCTCGTATAAATATATTCAGATGTTGTTATTCTCTGCTGAAGTAAAGAAGAAACTTTGTATATTTATTGACAACGTATCGTTACATTGATTTCATACACGTACAGTTGTATAGAGAAAACGAAACTAATGAGAAATGTATGATATTCAGAGAAATTCATGATGAGACAACAAGCGATTATACAAATAATTTTAGTATGTACTTTTTCACAATATTTATAGGAAACTGGTAAAACTAGTATGATCAAATAATTTGATTTTTCTATGCAAAGTAGTGCGTTGACTTTAACGGTTCGCTTTTCTGTTTATGTAGACTGCGTGCCATCTTTATTGTTGTACTAGAAAACAGTTCATACAAAAAATATCTTGATTCATATTATTATTACAATTTTTTGGAAAAGATTCTTGCAGTTTATGTTGGGTTTAATGTTAGCTGAAACTTTTCTGTTCTTCGTTCACTTAGTTGACAACAAACAATAAATTCACTATGTAAACAATAAATCCCCTTCCATCCACTGAGTGCATAAAGGTGCTGGTAGTGTATGAAGCATCATTTTGAAAATTTAAAAATATATTTTGGTTGTTCTTTTCATTAAAGTTGTACTTCTGTTTGTGTTAAGTGCCTAGGTTATTAAGATAAGGTTGCTGTGTAGAAAATATTTCATTCGAAAATCATTCACATTCTCAGATAAGAGACGAACATGAATCTATGGCAGAATCGAAATCAATCAATCGTCTCCTAGTGTCTAACATTCGTGATGAATCGAAACAAATGCTCACGCCAATTTCTGGCTATGAACGCGAACTTTTATTGTCTACCCAGGAGGATCATCCTGCCGTCTAAAAGGCCATCAGAAACGGCCTGAAACGGCTATAAAACGACATAAAATGACATTAATTTTCTCCCTATTTCGCCGTAATCCGTCAGCTCGTTTTACGGGCCGTTTGTTTTGCTAGAAAATGGTCATCGCTTTTAACACTATTCTCTTCGTTTTCCGAGCTGACGGAAAACGGCGCCATTTTTTAACGCTTTACATCGTTTTTATGCCGTTTCAGGCCGTTTTATTTCACCTGGGTATTGAAGAAGCATCCCTAGAGCATGTCCTGAGTTCAGGGTACCCATATACTGAGAAAATCTCAGCAAGGTACCCGATACGGATACTACGAAAATTCTCAGTAATTATACTGATGTAGTACTGCATCGGGTACCCATAGCAGTATGTTTACTGAACAAGTATCTGTAGTGGTACCCACACTTGTAATTTTACTCAGGAAAGCTCTACAGGTATCGTAGATTTCTCGCGTTCTGTGTAGCGACTGTTCTCGCACCATTTTCTTTTTCACACACGACTCCGTATAAACAACTCGACAAATCATAAGAAACTTATCTATTTTTGTACTATTTGTTTTTCTAGATTATTTCTTGACTATTTATTAGCCGAGAACGTGCCGATCTTAATTGTAAATTAACAGCGGACTACCCTGAAGTGGTCTGGCGGAGATTCGACCAACTCGAGTTCGGTCAAATCCAGAAATTTGACGTGCTAGAGTTTTCAGTATTGGAAAACTTGAATTAAATAAAATCGAAAAAAAGTAATAAATTGTTCTGAGAGAAAAAATGAAACGCTCAAAGATTAGGTTCGATCATCAACATACTGCAATTTTGATAACAGGGTACCTAAACATACTGTGAAATAGTATCCACCTGAGCAATTAATCAGTACCTTCAAGTACCAATTTACTAGACGCTTTCCAGCAGGGTACCCTCTCGAGTACCTAATAAGTACCTAAAATTACTTGTCAGTACTCAAATACCATAAAGTTCCTTTGATATACTAGTATCAGGGTACTTTTTCAGGTACCTTTAGCTCAGTACATGCACTAGGAATGCAAACCACTGGAAGCTGTACTGGATTATGAATTGAAACAAAATATAAGCATCGCTAAAATGAATTCGGCGGAAGTGAAAGAGAGACATACATTAGATGAATCTGCTGCCATCCATCTCTATACGTGCTTCAACTTATTTGAGATCGATTTTCCAATTTATAGAATTTGAAAAATTACAGTGTAGTGAATATAAAATCAATCGTGATATTATTATGTTTTGCATTAACAGAATTCTGAGTGGAGTTTCGTTTTTATATTAATCGTAACTATCGAATGGGTCTTGTCACGGTTCATGTGAAACATTCTGCGTTCAAACGCGGTTGCGACGAAAACTGCGTCTAGGCGCAGTAAATGTTTCACCGGAGACGCGGGTTGTGTAGTATCACATCCACTCTGATTTATTTTTAAAAAAAAGCCACTGTAGTTTACCAAACGTTCCGCTTAAAGTGACGTTACAAAATAATAGAAAATAAAATATCATCATACTTCATAGTATTAAAACGAGGGTTAGTTTAGGAAGTGAAATGTCAATAAAGAATGAAGACAACTATAATATAGAAACAGCTGTTTTAATAATTAAACAATGAACATATTTCAGATGGTGCCAATTCTCGACTATAAACTCGTAATTCATCGATGATTCCATAATAAGAACCTGGTGACAGAGCTGGAGTTGCAACTAGGCATCCTGTTGATGCTGAACTTGCAGTTTTGTAATTTCCAACAGTCATATATGGTCGAGTTGTGAAAGCACTAGCAGAAGTAGGAAACGAATTAAAAGCAGCATTGGCAACAGTCAGTGTTCCATTGGTGTAGATCGCCATACCATTCGTCGAACCATATGTTACGACGATATGTGTCCATACGTTTATTGTCGTATTTGCTCCACCAATGCTAGTACTAGCATAACATGGACAAAAGACTCCACTAGCGGTATATGAATTGTACATATTGGCGATTAATTGACCTATTGAACTGAATCCGAGAAGATCAAAACAAGCTGTACCTCCACCATCAATATTAGTCGACAGATGAATCAGTGTACCACCAGCAACCGAAAACGGCTTTATCCATAACGATACGCTGAATGCTTCTGCAGTACTATACGCTGTGAATGCGAAAGATTGAAAATAAGAAAGTGTTTGGTTGAATAGATAAGCTTCCTTAACGATGCCTGATATAGTACTTATTGAATTGGACATCCCATTAATAAAATTGTTACTAAGATCAAGATTTAATACACCAATGTCAAATGAATAATAGGCAGTAAGTATGGCATCATTCAAAATTTCACAAGCTGATTTAGCTGCACTTGATATTTCCAGATTATCCATTTTCCCTTGAAAGTAAGCACCGGCTGCTGTTCGACCAATTAGAATATCACCTGAAATTCCTCGATATGGACCAGAGAGTGTTCGAGATCCCCATGTCGTTCCAATAAGCACTCCATTATAATAAACTGATTGCGCTTGTAAAGTATAATCATACACAAAAGCTAAATGATACCATGTAGTTGATGATACCGTCAAAATAGTACCACTGGTGAGATCATCGTTGTAGAAACTAGAATATAAACGACCATTTTTGATACTCAAAGTCAAGCATTGATCAGTTGTTGTTGATGATTGACATTGGCTGAAAATACCTTGCTCAGTAGCCACAGTATTTAACCAGAACCATCTATGAGAGATACACGAATTTGTAAAGATAATATTCATAGTTTATATGTAACATCTAACATACCCTTCTATAGTCCAACTCTGATAACTGAGATTCAGGAATTGTGTATTCATAATAACATAATGACTTCCGTCGAATACCAATGCTTGACCGATATTACCATCAACATAAGTAGCTGAAGCTGTTGTTGGAGTATAGGTGCCGTCGTATATGTGATTCAAATCATCCAAATTTCCATCGAATCGCCACAATGCAATGACGGAACTGTGATATGGTGTTCCGGACATCACACAGGTGGTAGCACATTTTAGTTGATTGAACGTGTCTTTTTGACAAAAGATTAAAAGTATGTATTAAATTATATTAGAAAAAATCACATCATATATAGTTTAGATAGTTTTAACGAGTCTTTTTTACTATCTGAAAACCAAGTTTAAAAATTGATACTGTCAACTGTTCATTTTATATCCTATTGTAATATCGAGCGAAAGAACAAATGTGTAAGTATCACTACTACATTACAATAAATACAAAATATCCACTATTTCATATCTACTCACTGGAACTTGTACTTGGGTCTCTATTTTTTAGAGCGAAAAGCACGGCCAAAATTGCAATGGTAATAATTGCTAATCCGAGAACTAACATTAGAGAAGCTAATCCAATTGCGCTTGGTGTCGCTGTTCTATAAATATGAAGATGCTGCTTTTGAAAGCAACAGAATATAAATACAAAGGAAGCTTACAATGCACCCATAAGCTTTGTTTGAATCGAAACTGATTTTTGTGTGACTGCATCTTTCATTACGATCGTTTTTGACGGTATCCATGCTCCCTTTCGAAATAAAGGATAGCTCGGTGAAATAAGAGAGGGACCAAATGATGCTACAGGTACTGATACTGTTGGTTTTCGTATTACAATTGAGGATGAAGGTTGGTATCGGCGAACTTTGTGTTGAGATAGATGATTAATAGGAGGTCCGCGTCGAACGATTTCTACTTGCGAAGATTCTAGTTTCACACTGTCTTCACTTGATACCAATGAACGTGTACTAATAGAAGAGATAGACTTCGTCTCATATGCATCGTCATCATCTCTCGAAGATATGTGAGTATTCTAAGAAAAGAGTCATTCATTGAAAAAAATGGTTAAAATGTAAACTATAAAAGAATTCAATCGAACGTATTATATCAATGAGAAGGTTTAGATCTTCAAGCGTTCTAAATGAAAATTAGAAACATTGATATTCTTACATGCTCATAATGACGATGTTGACTTCGATGGTTAGAGTCAAGATGAAGTGATGGCAACTTTACTACTTTAAATGTTTGATGTCGTGTTTCTTTCGACATAATCACAGAACTAGACTTTCATACTAAATTGTCAGCGTGCGATGTTCATGAGTTTGGTTTGTTTCAACAAAATCCTATTTTAAATGGTGCATGCATTACACATAATCTTTTCTTTCGTCTGCGACCGATATTGTTTGCCAGAAACCTTAAATGATTTTTTTCTTTTTAATGTTCTACTAATAAAAACAATTTTAATTAATCTACTTTTGATTCAAATATTCTTATATTTGTTACTTCTCTATTTCAGCGATCGGTATATATTGTAATTCAATACATGAAGTGTTTCTATGTTTTAGATGAAACTTATTGGCAGGCATTAGAACTGGCTCGCCGAAAATAAATTGACAAAGCCTACGTATTTTTTCATTCGCGCGAATTTGCATTCATTCGTTAAGTTTGAAATGAATACAATTCTTTTTGATTGAGATTGATTATAATAAAAAATAGAGTGTTTGCATTACGTTGAAAAACAAAAAAAAAGTCGATAAAGTTCTTTTTCATTCTGATGTTTCTTGCATTATAAATAAAATACATGTATTGCGTATCATATATGTTTTTTCATAAAAAAAATCGCAGTGGAGATCATTAAATGCGATGAAGGTCACTTATTGATATTTTTATTCATCAGTAGCATTGATAGCCAAAGAGACTGACAATATCCCAGATGAGTTTTCATCAGTACTTACGAAAGTTGCGTTTGCCATAGTTAAATCATAAATTGCTTTATAACCCCTTACAAATTTCTCATTAATAATCTTTGAAATGAATATATTAAGACTGAATTTAATCAATATTTTTCCTGTCACTGTTGCCATGAAAAAATTACATCTCAATAGTATTTGAACAGTCAATAATATGTATATATATATGGGCTGTTCCATGTGTACTCAACCAAAAAAATACAAAGTATCCAAATTTTCTTCGTTTTCATCTGATTTTGTAGAGCTCGTTTCGCTGATCATTTTAGTATAAAACAAAATTAAAATTCATAAGTAAAAAAACATTTTATAGCGAATATACTAAAACTGTTTTTTTATTAAAAATACCTTAGGTTTTTCGGTATTTTAGCCCTAGCGCAGTTATTTCTATGTATGTTTTCGCAAAAAAATTTCAGAAATCCTCGTTTTCTACAATTCGTAAATTTCGACTAAAGAATATATTCTGAAAATCTAGTCGAAGTAATTCGAATTGGCGTTGACTAAGCTTCATTTTCTTTGCAAAATACATTATGTTCTCCAGGTACACATGAAGATTTTCTAGATGCCTCAATTTCAGGAAAAATCGCAAATTTCCTACTTTTCGCAATTACTCTGGTCCTCCAAGATTTTTTAGTACATGCCTAAAACCTAGGACACATGGGCAACTTTGTATGCTCTATCCACTGGTATAATTAACTTTTTCCTATTATTTTTGAAAAGATCGAAAGTTGTCGATTTCTGGGTTCGACTTTGAAGAAAATCGTGTTTTGAGCCCTCTATGCAAGATTTACTACATGATTGTGTAAAAAATAAAATATGTTTTCATACACAAGTTGACATGAGCTACAAAACTAACATAGTTAAATCGTGCCAGGAGAGTGTCGTGTATAAAGTGGGTGGAGTTGTGTGAGAGCACGCCGATATATTTCTGTCCTGAACCTTTAAGCAAGGTTTCTGACCCTATATGAAAAACGGTATACAGAGTTTGGTAGAACGCGTTTCGCTCTACAAAACCATGCATTTCAGATTCCAGTAGAATGTAGCCATTTTTAGATAAAGGCGGCTACTTTTTCAGCGCATTTACTTGAGTTAATCATTGAAAAATATTTTTCAATAATTTGAAACTATCTTATCTTGTAGAGCTAATTGAGCTG